CCATGTTTAAATGCAACGGACAAGCAACTGTCTGTTTAATTAAAAGCAGAGTGCAATTATTCAAGTGGGACTTAATTCTTAATTTTAACACAAATGGCTATATACACTTAATCCGCCCCCAGGTATGAACGTTTATTTAGCGAGTGTTCACAAAAACGAATTAATTCAGAAAGGCTACTCACTGTTAGACATGCAAAACCGCCACCAACAAAGAGGCCTCTGCAGCCACGTGGCTCGGAGAGGAGAAGCCGGAAGTGGGATTTTTTTTTTTTTTTGGTGCTGGTCACATGGCGGAAGCAGATTGGCTGATTTCTGCAAGATCTCTTTTGCTTTTGCTTTCCTGGAGCTGCCGGGAAGATATGCCTTTATTATTATTATTACATTATTAGAAGCCTTAATATTAATCATAATAGAGCAGCGGGAGGCCCAAGGGCTGCAGAACAGGCACAGAAGAAGGAAACCTGATTCAAAACACTTAAACCGAGTTAAAAAGGCCTATGATGGCCTAAGTGCTAATGCTGTGGGACAGAAAGCAGTGCCCTCCAGTGGACAAGGCAGGAATAGCAGCCACACAAGGAAATAAACCTTACCCCAAAGAGGGCAAAAAAGTCAGGCTTTCCTAACATGTCACAAACTGTGTTGCTCATTTTGGGGGGCAAGGTCATCAGAATGCGGCCTTACGTCGACCTAACTCTTTTCTAACCGCAAAATGGGTCAAAAGTCAGGCCCTAGTCTTTCTTTACCCAAAAGTGGGCAAAAAAGTCAGGCTTTCCCAAGATATGAAAGACTATGTTGGTTATTTGGGGGTCAAATTGCTCTATTATGCTTAATATTAAGGCTTCTAATAATGTAATAATAATAATGAACTCATTCTGCTGACTTTGCCCCCCAAATAACCAACACGGTCTTTCCCTCCGGCTTGGCTGGCTTTGGGTCATTCCCCTCCCCTGCCACCCTTGGCTTGCCATCACGTTCCCCCGGCCACGTGGCAAAGTACCACAAGTGGGAGGCATACCACTGGTCAAAGAGGGCGGCTCCATCGCTCTGTCCTGAAAGCAGCTTCCCCAACCTGGCGCCCCCAGATGTGCTGTGGGCGGGGGACAACTGGGGCACCCCCCAGCCCGCTTTGCGACGCTCTTTTTGCGGCAGCCAAAAGACCTCCAACCAGCAGAGGGCGCCCGTTAGGGAAGGACTAAGCTAAACCTTTCTGGAGGAGGCAGAGAGGAGGAGGCGGAGGCGGGGCAAGCTGGGAAGGAGGGGCCAGAACGCGTCATCCCCGGCGCTCCTCCCTCCCTCTCTCGCTCACGCTCACGCCCTCCTTCCCGGAAGTTCCGCTGCCAAAAGCCGTCCGCCGCTTGGGGAAAAAGCGCCCCGCTCCCTCCGTTCCGGACGCCATTCGGTCCCCCCTCCGACGCTCGCTCTTCCCGGGCTCCGGGCAGGTCTGTGCGGCCGCGAAGCGTCCTCGGGCGCCTCCGGGCGGGCAGGAGGCGGAGGAGCAGGTGGAAGAGGAAGAGGAGGCGGCCGTCCGGCGGGGAAGGGGCGTCGTCGCCCCGCCTGCGCCCCGCCTGCCGCCCGCGCCACGTCTCGGAGGAGGAGGAGGAGGAGGAGGAGGAGGAAGGGCGCCTCGGGCCGAGCCGGGCAGGTCAGCGGGACGGAGGGCCGGGAATGGAGGGGGAAGGGTAGTTGCGGGGCTGCCGGGCTGAGTACCCTCTGCGGGTGTTTGTGTGTCTGCGAGTATAGAAGTCACACCCTTGTGCAAACACACACACACACAACACACCTCGAAACACGCCTCCGTGTCTGGGGGAGGAATCCCTGGGGATGAGGATGAGTGGGGATGGCCTGCACACGTGTCTTGCAACACACGCGTCTCTTGGGTGTGAGAATCTGGCTCCTTCCCTTGTGATGCTGGGGTGTTTGTGTGCCTGTAGGTTGCGTCGTAGGAAATGGGCTCTGTAGAGCTGGGGAGGGGTGAGGTGGAGGGTGTGTGTTTTATGTGTGTGTTGTGTGTGTACCTGCATGTATGTGTATGAAGTTGGTTTATGGGTTTTATAGACCTAGGAAGGTTTAAAGGTTCGGTGTGCGGTGTGTATGTCTGTTTGTGTTTATGGGCCGTGTAGACTTGGATAGGAGTGATGTAGGGGGTATCTGTGTGGGTCTGTGTATGTGCATTGTGTGTGAAGTTGCTTAATGGACTGCATAGACCAGGATAAGGGTAAGGTTTGGTGTGTGTGTGTGTGTGTGTGTGTGTGTGTGTGTGTATGTACATCAGTATGAAGTTGATTTATGGACTATATAGAGCTGGGTAGATGTGATGTAGGGTGTGCATGTGTGCGTGTGTACCTGTGTGTATGTATATAAAGTTGGTTTATGGATTATATGGATTTGGGAAGATTTAAGGTTTGATGTGGGGAGGTGCATAGGTATGTACATGTATAAAGTTGCTTTATGAACCATACGGACCAGGTCAGTGTAAGATTTGATGTGTGTCTCTGTATACATCTATGAAGCTCGTTTATGCACTTTATAATCAGAGTAGGTGTGATGTGTGGTCAAGGACTCTGAAACTGGTTGTTGTTGCAGTGGTTGGGAGGCTTGAACATGCCTAATGAGGCCTCCATGGAGGTTAAGAGTCATTGTTGTGAAGCATTTGTGCCTGCCTATTTGTATTTGTCGGAGACTGGCTCTGTTGTGAACAGAGGCTGCCAATCTGGCCCCCAAAGGGGAGGTTGAGGTATGCTAAAGACTCTAATCCTGCTCCTTTCCCAAGGAACATGGGCTTGGATACACCATCCCTTCCCCTCCGGCCTTCCCAGCTGTCAACACTGCTAACGGATGTTTTTGCTTTGACAACAGTTAGAGATGCAATCATTTTCTTCTTATGTTTTACTTTAAGAGTTAGATGATGCTGGGTGGGGGGGGGGAGGAATGTGCATGAGACTTTAGCTAGACATAATAATACTGGACCTAGTGTGTGAACCAAGGTTAATGAAATAAGAGATGATAAGAATTGTCAGGCTGGAGAACTGGAGGGAGAGCCTGCATTTCAAACTAATTGGAGAATGTGATTTATGACTCTTAACTGGAGGAGGGAATTGTGCTTTGATGCTATGTGCTCAGAGGAGGGGAATTCAGATTTTGGCTTCGATTGTGTTAGACTATGCTAGTCAAATAAACATTCTTTAAGGCAATCAATGACTGGAAGTTCTTTGAAGAGTTTCATCTGTCGGAACCATGACACCAGCAAGTTGTGTTAGGCTAAAGTCCCCCTGCCCAGAGAAGTCAACCCTCTGTTCCACCTGTAACTCCCAACTTCAGAACTCCTAGATTTCGACAGAAGATTTAGAGTGCTTCCTGCCCTGAAATTACAACAACGATTGTGTAAAGATTCTCCATAGAATCCTACCGTTCATTTGTACCTTGAAGAAGTCACTCCAGGGTATTTTAACAGAGGAGAATTCACGGGGTATTTTCTGTCGGAAACGTTTAGTCTCTCTGCATCTTTGAGTAAGCCAAATCTATAATTTATCCTTCTGAGGAGTCAACAAATATTGTTATCTGAAAGGGAGCGGCCTCCTTGCATGATTTTGGCCCTTGCGTTGTGTGAGAGTTGATGCTGGGCGTCTTAGTTCTTCTTGGGCTGAATTCTTCTGTACAGGTAGCTCTCGACTTAAGACCTCGGCTGAGCCCAAAATTTCCGTTGCTAAGCGAGACAATTGATCGCTGAGTTTCGCCTCATTTTTACGACCTTTCTTGCCACCGTTGTTAAGTGGATCGCTGCGGTTCACAAGCTAGTCACACGGTTGTTAAGTGAATCTGGTTTCTCCATTGACTTTGCTTGACAGAAGGTCGCAAAAGGGGATCACGTGACCCCGGGACGCTGCGACCGTCATAAATATGAGTCAGTTGCCAAGCGTCTGGATTTTGATCACGTGACCGTGGGGAGGCTGCAACGGTCGTAACTGTGAAAAAATGGTCATAACTCACTTTTTTCAGTGTGGTTGAAACTTCAAACAGTCACTAAGTGAACTGTCGTAACTTGAGGACTGGCCTGTCATCTTTATCTCTTGCTTTCTTCACGCAAAGCGAAGCAAGCTTAATAGGCGATAGGCCTCTTTTCCCGCCCTCGGTTAGTAAGACACTCATCTGGAATAAGAGATATTTTAATCTCTGCCAAATACTTAGCCTCATAAACACATGCATAGTCCTATAAATCAAACTGTCCGTGCTTGGTGGGATAAAATAGTCTGGCTGGCAGTTGCCATGATGAAAATAAAAGGCAACTGGTAACGTGAAAATAGTTTTTGTTTCCACTCATCACAGGATCCTGATCTAGCCTGTGTTGATTCCCAAGCAACAACCTCAAGAAAGCTTGGATGGATTCCATGTGTTGCTCAGAGATTCATAACAGCATCCTGAAAAATCTTTGCTTTGTGAATTTCCTCCCCCCAAATGCCTTAGTTTTATCATCCAGCCTCTAGGAGCCTAAGCAGACTCCCACTCCCGTCTCTGAGATGGTGGCAATATGACTTACATAAGGATTGGCACTCCCTGAGCCCAGAATTATATGTGGCAGATGTAGGTGATCTTTAAAAATAGACAAAAAAAACCACAAGGAACTATTTTTAAAAAGGAGTGTCATCCTGTATGTGTGTGTGTGTGTTTTTTTGTCTGTTTATCTCGGTGTGTGACATAACTCAACTATTATTTTCTTTCTCTGCAGCTACGCTAATGATCTCCAGAAATTCTTCAGTTGTCCATCAAGTGGGCTGGAACTAAACCAAATTGCTTGCTGCAAATAAATTGGCGCAGAAGCCCTCACGATGCACGGGCTGTCTTTTGGCTCCCAGCGGTATTGATGGAGTAAAAACTGGACCCAGTAGGTGACTTGGAAAATTCCACTGGGGAAATATTTCCCTTGGACCTTCACCCCTCCAGCCATGGACTCTTCGGTGGTCATTCAGGAAGCCAGCAATGGTACCCCCAGCAGTTCTGAACATCAACCAGACCTGGAGGCCAAATCTAAGTGGATAAAGGAAGATGTTAACTGTAAGCTTCTTTGGATATTGATTTTTTTTTAAGGAGCATTTTTGTTACTGTCGTTGGATTGTAATGGTGGAAGGTTAGGAAGAACTTTGGCAAAATCAGTTGTCATTCCAGATGCACTTGGAAGATTCAAGGTGGCGCTTTGTTCCTGAGTTTTCCTCCTAGTGACTAAGTCAGTGGTATCTTTCATGGCTAATACTAGGGAGATACCTACCATTGTCCATGGGCTTGTCTATCGTTGCACTCGCTGGGGGATGAAACTCCAGACATAGTTCTAAGACGTTCTTCCACTTCTTCTTTGGTTTTTTCCACCTACCTCTTCCATCTTCCCTTTTTTCTGGAAAATGAAAGAACAAAGCTGTTCAATCAGCACTGGGTGGGGGTGGGGTGGGGGGGTTAGTCTGGAAAGTGTCTGTCTTGGGAGTCACATCTTAAAATAATTCAAAGTAATAAAGAGTAGAACAGAACTGGAAAGGATCTTGGAGGTCTTCTAATCCAACCCCCTGCTCAGGCAAGAAACCCTACACCATTCCAGACAAATGGCTGTCCAGTCTCTTCTTTAAAACCTCCAGTGTTGGAGCATTCACAACGTCTGGAGGCAGCTTCAATTTTGGCAGTTTGAGAGCTCCATAGAGGTGACTCTCAACCAAACCAGTCAGCCTGAAGAATGACAATCCAGAACAAAGAGAAAATTAGATACAGAGTGGCACCAGAGCATCTGTTTTGCATCAAACTCCTCTGTAATTGACAGAAGAGCATAAGGGAGATAGGAGGAGCGTCTGCCTGAGAGATTCTTCTAACTTGCTGTCCATTAAGATGGATTATACCAAACTACATGGATCTGAATTAAGGGGGCTCTCTCTGCCTTGTGAGGATATAGAAACATCAGGAAGGAGGGAGAAATATATTTCTGTTGAACCCAGCGAGGGGAGGGATGTGTTAGGCATATGGCTGATGCATAAACAAATCCTATCTCCCTATCCAATATTTCAGGAATGTTCCAGACTAGATACAATTTTATTATAAGAGCCGGGGTGGCGCAGTGGTAAAAATGCAGTACTGCAGGTTAACTCTGCCCACTGCCAGGAGTTCGATCCTGACCGGCTCACAGTTGACTCAGCCTTCCATATTTCCCAGGTCGGTAAAATGAGGACCTAGGAAATATGTAAACTGCTTAGAGAGGGAAAGCACTGTGAAGCAGTATACAAGTCTAATTGCTATTGCTATTCTGGTTTTATTTGTTAAGTTTGGTGCTTAAAGTGATTTAGAGTATATTGGGTGTTTCAAGGAGAGAAGCAACCTGGAACTAAGGAGAAACTTCCTAACAGTGAGGACAATTAACCAGTGGAACAGCTTTGCCTTCAGATGTTGTGGGTGCTCCATCACTGGAGGTTTTTAAGAAGAGGCTAGACAGTCACTTGTCTGAAATGGTATAGCAGGAGGTTGGACTAGATGACCTCCAAGGTCCCTTCCAGCTCTGTTCTGATGGGATTGTCCTCTCAGTGGCTTCTTGAGCATATGAACAGGTAAGCGCACGGCACCCACCGTTAACCTCTTCCCAACCCGTTCTTTTTTTTTTTCCAGTGGTTAGTGTAAATAACAGCCGAGTGTCAACCGAAGGGGACACCTTAGCCCTCAAGAGCAGCCCAGACCCTTGTGCGAACGGACCGACGCCTTATGACCCCGAACAGCCTGTGACCTTTGGCCCCATCAAAAGCGCCCGGGAGGATGAAGCAGCTTCAGGTGTGCTTGGTGTCCATGAGCACCTAGAGGCATCTCAGGGCGGTAGTGATGAGAGCTTAGCTCTTAGGAAGGACACCCTGCAGTCTCTCAAACTAAGCCTCCCTTTGCAAGAAACCAAACTGTGTAAGCATCTCTTCAGGGTGGAGCTCACCTGTTCTTCTTTGCTCCACCTGAAAGAAGTTCTTTTTTTTTCTCCTCCTCCCTTATTTCTATATTTCTGTGCCTCTGCAGAATCTCTTCTGCAGGCCGCTTTTGAAGCATGAGCTGACTCTTAAACCTTGGCCTCTGACTTTGCCTTTAACAAATCGGCTTGCTTTTTTTTTGCTGGGTTGCAAATCAAGGTGTGCCATTGCAATTCCCTTAAAAACAAGGTATTTTTCCTCTAATCCAGAGGTCCCCAACCTTTGGGGCACCAGGGACCGGTTCTGTGGAGAGAGGTTTTTCCACGGACCGGAAGGTCCGTGATTTTGTGTGCTGCCTGCATCTCGCAGATGGGGCTTTGCTTGTTTGTGCGGACCGGTTGCTGGCGTGCCGTGGCCCGGTACCGGTCCACAGACCAGGGGTTGGGGAACCCTGCTCTAATTGATGTGGTTACCGACTTCTACGCGCTAAACATTGATCAGACGAAACAGTGCACATGTCAACAAGAGCGAAATACAGGTAATCCGTGACTTAGGACTGAGTCCCAAATTTGGCCCATTTTACCTGTCTTGCCACAGCTGTTAAGAGAATCACTGCAGTTGTTAACTCAGTAACACAGTTGTTACCTAACTCTAGCATCCCCATTGGCTTTGCTGGTCAGAAGGACGCAAAGAGGGAGCACGTGACCCCTTCAACCGTCAAAAACGTGAGCTAGTTGCCGAGTCTGAATTTTGTCCATGTGACCCTGGGGATGCTGCAATCGTTGTGTGAAAAACAACTCATTTTTTTTTCAGTGCTGTTGGAACTTCGAACGGTCAAGTAAACAAACCTGTAAGTCGAGGACTAACGGATAGTTTTTTAATTGTCCATACAGCTACCGTTCAACTTGCGACTTGTTGCTGAGTGGCTATTTGAAGGGAGGTTACTAACGACCTGGGTTTGAAGTTCTGACAGCCACACACACACACACACACGGCTGTCGCAGGACCATGTATGCTTGGCAACCGGGCTGCATTAACGACCGTCTGCAGTGTCCCGTGGTTACCTGTCCACGTTTCACTTCTGCAAAGTGACAATCCTCTTTTGATTGAACACCCTCTTCCCCAGCCTCCAGACAAGGATCAAAAATTGAGTCACGCCTCTCTGTTGACCCCGTGCCATCGCCGTCATTGCCCTGTGACTCAGAGGCTGAGAAATTCCATGGAAAAACCTGGCTGTCTTCCTGTTAATGAGACGGTGGTGCAAAGTTTTAGTTGGGGTGGATGGACTTGTTGGATCCTATTCTGAATGAGGGGCAGCAATTATTCCCTGACAGATTGATTTAATAGATGCGTTAATTAATGGTCTCCCACCTGGTGAAGGAGAGGCTGGGCGGCTAGCCACACCTTAACAATTAAAAGTAATGTTAGCAAAGTATAAAACCACGGCTCCTTTGAGGCTTTTGGGGACTATAGCATCCTCATCCTAATTAAGTTAATATCCAAAACATTTTTAAAGTATGCGGTTGTTGAACTCTGGGACACTGAAAAGGTTTCTCAAGCTCTTTCCTCTTTGCTTCAGACACAGCAAAAAAAAAAATCAATTCTCTCAAAACAAAGAGAAATTAGCCCCTCTTTTTTCCCCCCTTCTTTTTACCTTGGGTCTAAGTTTCTGACGACTTTGTAAAGAAATCGCAGACCTTCTTGTCTGCCCTACCTCCTCGTTTATTGTCCCCGAACAAATTAACTTGCTCTTTCTTCCTTCCTTCCACAGGCTCAGCCGATGCTCCTCTCCCGCTGGAGAAGGAAGAACTGATCCGGCTTCAGGCCCGGAAGCGCCTGGAAGAACAGCTCAAGCAGTATCGGGTCAAGAGGCATCAAGAGAGAGTAAGTGCCTAGCAAAAAAAGATGTCACAGGCGTGTTTTTACTCACTGCACCGTCTGCCGGACGGTTAGACTGGAACTGGCATTTTTGCCCACTGATTGATCGGAGATCAGCCGAGGTTCGATGTTGGATGGTGCTAAAGGAATTGTTGCAGGATGTCAGCTGTTCTGAGTAACGCTGCCTATGGCAATTGACTGATGGGGATTGTGTCAATGCCAATATTACGGTTCGTCGTAGAGTCAGCTGGATTTGGCATTTTGGTCCACCTATCCAGTCCTTCCCAAGGACCTGGGATAGGCAGATGTGGATGTCTGAATTGATGGTATTACAGTTATCGTCGCAGGATGGAAGCTGTTCCCAGTAAGGCCCCCTTTTGCAATTGACCAATGGCGAAGTTGTCAATGCCAGTGGTGTCCAAGCGATACTCCAGCTGTTTTGGGATTGCACCCAAGGCAGCTATTACTATTGGTACTACCCTTGCTTGCTTTTGCCACAGTCTATTTGTAGGTCTTTGTATTTTGTTATCTTCTCCAGTTCTTTCTCGTCTATTCTGCTCTCTCCGGGCACTGCCACGTCCACTATCCAGACTTTTTTGTCTTTCTTATCGACAATTGTTAAGTCTGGGGTGTTATGTTGCAAGTGCTTGTCTGTTTGAATTGTAAAGTCCCAGAGCAATTTATTATTGTTGTTGTTGTTTGTTATTATATATTATTATTGTTGTTTTATTATTATTGTTTTATTATTTACTACTACTACGCTTACTTTTTCATTTCCCCCCCTTCCTGTTCTTCCTTTCCTGCCTTCTTTCTTTCACTCCAGCTGTTTACAGCTAAAAGCCGCCTCTCCAGCACCCTGGATCCCGAGCTGATGTTCCATCCGGAGCTCTTACCAAGGGCCAGCCCTGTGGCGATGACCAAAGAATATTCCTTTTTGAGAACCAGTGTCCCGCGAGGACCGAAAGTGGGCAGCCTGGGTCTCCCAGCTTCCTCGAAAGAGAAAAAAAGTCCCAAATCTTCCAAAACAAGCCGGATTCGCTCTCTGGCAGATTATCGAACGGAAAACCCCGACGGCAGCACCAGTGGGACCGTCCCGGTGGCCGATTCATGGGGCGGATCGCTGAAAGCCAACTCAAACAGTCTGACCTCGGTTCTGTCTTCCGTCAGTCTGACCCCCGATTCAGATGACCGGCTGGAAGCTTCGTCCTTGGCGGGAGACAGCCTGTCGGAAATGGACGGCAGCGAAGCAGGAATGAGGCTGGACGGCAACGAAAGCGACAGCTCGACCTACAGCAGTGTGTCGGGAAGAGGCCCCACTTCCTCCAGCCCCAAAAGCAAGCAGGGTCCGACCTTCACCGTCAACGGGCAGAAGATCCCGTTGGATGCTGTTGGACAGTTTCCTTCCATCAGGGAGGTCCTCCAGGCTGCGGCAACAGAATATCGGGCTCAGGACCAAGAGGTCAATGGGGAAGCCAGAAGCCGGCGGGACAGTATTTCTAGCAGGTAAAGCTGTTTTGGCATCTTCTCCAACTCGGAAGGCTCCAGCTGGGACACTTTTGTTCCAAAGGTGCTTTTTCAAAAGGCAACTGGGCTTTGTCTGTCCTGGAAACAAAGAAAGCTCCTTCCTTCTTTCAGTTCTGAACTGAAGAAGCTTCTTGGATGAGAAGAACTGAATTGAAGAAGCTTCATGGGTGAGAAGATGTTTTTCTTTGAAGATGTTCTGCTTCTCATCCAAGAAGCTTCTTCAGTTCTTCTCATCCAAGAACCTTCTTCAGTTCTTCTCACCCAAGAACCTTCTTCAGTTCTTCTCACCCAAGAAGCTTCTTCAGTTCTTCTCATCCAAGAAGCTTCTTCAGTTCTTCTCACCCAAGAAGCTTCTTCAGTTCTTCTCACCCAAGAAGCTTCTTCAGTTCTTCTCATCCAAGAAGCTTCTTCAGTTCTTCTCATCCAAGAAGCTTCTTCAGTTCTTCTCATCCAAGAAGCTTCTTCAGTTCAGAACTGAAGGAAGGAACTTTTTTGTTTCCAGGAAAGGAGGTCCAGTTGCCTTTTTGAAAAAGCACCTTTGGGACAACCATGCCCTGGATGACGGAGAATCTCCATAGGCATCTTGGATTCTTTTCTTGCATTTGTTTGATCCTCTAAGGAACATCTTAGTTTTTTTGTAATTGGTACAGCTTCACAAAGTGTGCCTCTATTTTGTCTCGCCCCAGCATATCCATGGAAAGTTCAGTCGCTGGGACCCACGATGAGCTGCTTCAAGTCCTCAAAGAGAAGATGAGGCTGGAAGGACAATTGGAGGCTCTGTCATTGGAAGCCAATGAGGTACAAAAGGATCTTTTACTTAAAAAACTCATCCTCCAGGATGAAGTGAAACCTACACTGCTCCTCTAGGTTTAAGGATGGGTTATGGAATATATCGGGTGTCTGTGGAAGGAGGATGGCATTTCAGGTTATTGTTGATAGATCTAGTCTTAGCTTCTTGAGATGGTAGGATCTTATAATGGGAAGGAGCCAGTTAAGCCAGGGGGTTCAATTTGCTTCCTGGTGTAGGAATCTCAATAAAAGCATTCCCAGGAGATGGTGGTCCAGCCTCTTTTCTTCCTAGACAGTGAATGTGAAAATAATATGGGATGGTTTGTGAAATTGATGGCTGTTTGGGATGGTTGTTACCCATGTCTACTACTACCCATCTGTAAAAAATTCCATGGAGATGTCTGCTCCTGTGTCCAAAAAATGGAGGATATTATAGAAGGTTTTGAAGGCCCACCTCAGCTCAACACCTCTGTTACTGCCTTGCTTGGATAGAGAATTAGAAACCGGTTTTGTCTTTGTGTAGGCCCTCAAAGAAAAAGCAGAATTGCAAGCCCAGCTGGCTGCGGTCCAGATGAAACTCCAAACCCACATGGAGCATTCACAGACCAGCCAGCAGAAGCAGGACTCCCTGAATTCAGAGGTGGCTACCTTGAAGCAGTCCTGCTGGGAACTGGAACGTGCCATGGCTGAGCTACAGACCACGTTGGAGGCCAAGAATGCAGGCTTGCTGGCTTCTCATAATGACCTGCAGTTGGCAGAAGAACAGTACCAGAGGCTGATGGGGAAGGTAGAAGACTTGCAGAAAAATGTCCTTAGCAAGGATAGCACGGGTGAGTAGAAGCAGGCTGAACGTCTTCAATCCACCCGTTCTTCCGTGAGGACCTTACAAAGCCTCAAGTCCCAGATAGATGGATTGTAGCCTGGCCGTAGGCCACCTTCTTCACGAGTCTCTATTGAAGAGTGAAATCAGAAAGATCACAAATCTTTCTGATCCACCCTTCCTTAATTATCACGTCTTTGGTAGGTGGTAAGACGAAGAAGACTTCCTGTGGAGGTCCCAAAGATGCTTCCTCCAAAAGGCAACTGTATCTGAGGATACAGATAAACCCCCAAGTGGTCTCAATGATTCTCTTACTTTCATTTACAGTTTTTTTTTATCCGCTCTTTTAGTTCACGATCTCCGGCAACAGCTCTCCTCGTTACAAAGTCAGCTTCAGCAGGTCGAACTGGACCGCGCGTCCTTGACCGGTAAGCTGAAGTCCTCTCAGGCAGAGATCTCGTCCCTGCAGAAGGTTCGGCACTGGTACCAACAACAGCTGGCGGTGGCTCAGCAAGCAAGGATCCGTCTGCAGAGCGACATGGCCAACGTAAAGGTAAGCACAGCTGTCGTCTCTCCCGTTCCTATTCAGGACCTGGAGCACGTTTTCATACACGCAGTCTTATCGTGCCGTTCATTCGATTGATTTCATGGGCGGTTGGCCGAACGCGGTCTTGAACTAGACGACGGTCCTGCCTTAAATGGGAAACACTTTTCTGCAGCTTTCCCTAGACGTGATGGGGTGTAGTGAGGAGGAGGAGGATCCCCCAGGAGGGAGGGAGTGAATTTCAGGGCAGTAAGAGGCAATTCAGACTGGATATTATATGTGAGAGAAAGAGGGAGAAGACAGCCTCTCCCTAACAGAGTATATTGTAGAGGCAGATAGCTGAGTGTTCAGCCTGGCAAGATTCTGTCTATAGGTGTGAAACAATAAAATAACTCAGCTCGGAAGTATCCCCAGGCATCATTTTTAGAGAATAGAATAGAATAGAATAGAATAGAATTACAGAAGAGATTACAGAAGAGAATAGAATAGAATAGAAGAGATTACAGAATAGAATAGAATAAGAAGGATGGAGAATAGAATAGAATTACAGAAGAGAAGAGAGATTACAGAATAGAATAGAATAGAATAGAATAGAATAGAATAGAATAGAATAGAATAGAATAGAATAGAATAGAATAGAATAGAATAATAAGGATGGAGAATAGAATAGAATTACAGAAGAGAAGAGAGATTACAGAACAGAATAGAATAGAATAAGAAGGATGAAGAATAGAATAGAATTACAGAAGAGAAGAGAGATTACAGAATAGAATAGATTACAGAATAGAATAAATTACATAATAGAATAGAGTAAGGATGAAGAATAGAATAGAATAGAATTACAGAAGAGAAGAGAGATTACAGAATAGAATAGATTACAGAATAGAATAGAATAGAATAAGAAGACCCTTTGCGTCTCTGTGTAAGTGCGTCGGGTGCACAGTTACAAGCAAAATCGCCTTTCCATCTAAAGCAGGCCATAAACTATAGCCCTAATAGCTTGGATTCCATTTCTTCATGTGTCTCTTAATGCAGCCCTTTCTCTCCTTCCACCCTTTTCCCCAAGGCTGGACAGATGACCCAAGTTGGTCTGCTGGAGCATCTGAAGTTAGAGAACGTAACCCTGTCTCATCAATTAACAGAGACTCAGCATAGATCGATCAAAGAGAAGGAACGCATAGCTGCACAGCTGCAAAATATCGAGGTAAAGACGTCAGATTTTCTGAATATTTGATTGCCAAGCCTGTAAAAATCTGCAGAGAGGAACAAGGAATCGATATTTACGAATATCCATCTCTCTATCTTCTCTCTGCACGCACTCTGATGCCTACTCAAAGTTCTGAAACGCAATTTGTGGCCTCTGTCGCCAGGCTGACCAATGGTCTTGAACATCTGAAGGACTTCAGGTTCACCCTCGCTGCTCAATTATTTTTCAAAAACTGAAAACCGGAAGCTCTTTTGTCCATACATTGTTGTTAGTTGCGAAGTCATGTCCGACCCATCGCGACCCCATGGACAACGTTCCTCCAGGCCTTCCTGTCCTCTACCATCTTCTGGAGTCCATTGAAGCTCACGCCTCCTGCTTCAGTGACTCCATCCAGCCACCTCCTTCTCTGTTGTCCCCTTCTTCTCTTGCCCTCCATCTTTCCCAACATCAGGCTCTTCTCCAGCGAGTCCTTCCTTCTCATTAGGTGGCCAAAGTACTTGAGTTTCAACTTCAGGATCTGGCCTTCTAAAGAGGAGTCAGGGTTGATCTCCTCTAGGACTGACCGGTTTGATCGCCTTGCAGTCCAGGGGACTCGCAGGAGTCTTCTCCAGCACCAGAGTTCAAAGGCCTCAATTCTTTGGCGCTCAGCCTTTCATATGGTCCAACTTTCACAGCCTTACATTGCCACTGGGAAAATCATGGCCTTGACTATACGCACTTTTGTTGGCAGCGTGATGTCTCTGCTTTTAAGTATGCTGTCTTAGATTTGCCATAGCTTTCCTCCCCAGGAGCAAGCGTCTTTTAATTTCTTGGCTGCAGTCCCCATCTGCGGTGATCTTGGAGCCCAGGAAGATAAAATCTGTCACTATGTCCATACATGGATAAATGCAAAAAACCAAACCAATCTTGCGTGGATTCAGTTACAGGTAGTCCTCAAACCTACGACCACAATCAGGACTAGAATTTCTATCGCTAAGCAAGGTTTTTGTTAAATGAGTCGTACCTGATTTGGCCCCGTTGTAACGTCTAACCATTGCTAGACAAAGGGTGGAAGGTCGAGGACTACCTGTATACAGGTAAATGCAGTGATTTTTTATATTGGCATCCTGTGAAGCATATGTAACACCTAAGCCCCTTATTTGGATCCAACGGCAAGGTGCTGTTAACTTCACGCATGCCGTTCCCATTTCTTAGCTTCTCTTTGGCAGCTGTTGCCACACTACTAACAACTTCTGATGCCTCTGCACAGGCTGACATGTTAGACCAGGAAGCAGCCTTCCTGCAGATCCAGGAGGCTAAGAGCATGGTAGAAGATGATTTGCAGAGGAAACTGGAGGAGTTTGAGGACGAGAAAGAACAACTTCAGAAGATGGCTGATTCGGCAACAGGATTGGAGCAGGAGCTGGAAAAGGTACGAACGTTTTGCACGTTGTATGACAGCCACCGATGTGGGATTCTCGGGTAAAGGTTGAGGTGGATTCCTGGGGTGGAATGTAGTCTGGATTCCCAGGAGGAAGAGGATAGTTTGTGTCTGAGAAAGAGGGTGAAGACGGTTCCTCCCTAATAGTTCCCGGAGTGTATGCTTATGGAGGTGGTCGTGTCTGCTTTGACTTTTGCAAGATTCTCTCAGTGGGTGAGGAACAACAACATTCTGCTTGGAAGAATCGTTATGTGCCTTTATTGGTTTTTTTGGAACCTGAAAACTCTTGAGTTAGGAGTCTGTGGAGATTCTCGGTCCTCCAGGTCATGGTTGTCCCAAAGGTGCTTTTCAAAGAGGCAACTGGACTTCCTTGTTATTCTTTGAAGACATTTCGCTTCTCATCCAAGAAGCTTCTTCAGCGCTGAAGAAGCTTCTTGGATGAGAAGTGAAATGTCTTCAAAGAATAACAAGGAAGTCCAGTTGCCTCTTGAAAAAGCACCTTTGGGACATCTTGAGTTAAGAGTCAAGGCCAGGTAGAAGGATGCCTTTTTTTACCTTGAGAGGAGATCACGGTGATGGTGAACCTCTTTGTGTTCTTGGCCCAGGTCAAATTAACGCTTCAACAGCGAGACTTACAGCTGGAAACCCTGCAGCAGGAACAGCTGGATCTGATGAAACAGTTGACCTCTGCCCAAGAGACGTTACAGACCCAAGACCAAACCTTGGGTGAACTTCAGGTGCGCTATGACGAACTGGAGGCCAGGTTGGCTGAGCTGCAAGGAGAGGCTGCCTCGAAGGACGACGCCCTCCGCTATTTGCAGAATGAGAAGATCGTTTTAGAAATCGCCCTGCAGGTAGCAAAGACGGGACAGCAAGGACTTGAAGAGGACATCCAGCAGTTAGGAGGCCACGCCGAGGCGGCCTCAGATGTTTTGGAGCAGCTCAAGCAAGAAATAGCCATCAAATCAAGTCAGGTAATCTGCATTTGGCCATACCTTTTTCTGTTCTTAGCTATTAAGACCTGTTCTTAGCTATTAAGAGCTGGTGGCGCAGTGGTTAGGATGCAGTATTGCAGGCTAACTCTGCCGACTGCAAGCAGTTCGATCCTGATGGGCTCAAGGTTGTCTTAGCCTTCCATCCTTCCGAGGTCGGTAAAATGAGGACCCAGATTGTTGGGGGGCAACAGGCTGACTCTGTTAACCGCTTAGAGAGGGCTGTAAAGTCCTGTGAAGCCATGCTGAGGGGAAAGGGAGAGTTTTCCAAGCTGAGCCATGCTGGCTCAGGAATTCTGGGAATTGAAGTCCACGAGTCATAAAAGAGCCAAGGTTGCCTGCTCCTGGGTTAGAGTGATGGAAATTAAGACCTTGGTCTCCTAGCTTGATTGTTGCTTCACAATTCTGCAGGAGAGCTTGAATTTTTCTTCTTTAGTTCTTATCCAGTGCTTCTTTTCATTTTCTTCCTGGTAGGTGGAGAACCTGCAGCAGGAGAGTGCAAATCTGAAGAAGCAAACCCAGAAAGTGAAGGAACAGTATCTTCAACAGAAGGTGCGTAGTATGTGCGTATTATGTGGGGGTGGGGGTCTATAAATGTGTTGTATATAGTATGTTTTAGGTGTGTGTTATGTATGTGTTTCACTTTGAGAGCGGGCAACTAAATTTCATTTTTTGATGTGTGGCCATTGTGCCCAGTAAAAAAATGACAATAAAGGTTATCTTATCTTTTTCTAAATTTTGTCGCTTTGGAGAAACTGGGAAAAAGGAAGTGTTTATCCACGTTTTGCCCCTTAACCAGCCACTGTCAAATAAAGCACCCCAAATAATACAGGTAGTCCTCAATTTAAAACTGCTATTGGGACCGTTTCCGTCACTAAACAAGGCAGTTGTTCAGATGCCCGATTTTGCCAACTTTTACCCCCTCGGTTGCTAAGTGAGTACCGTTGTTAAGTGAACCCAACAAATCCGGCTTCTCCCCTTGACTTTGCTTGTTGGAAATTAATATTAATACATACAAAATTGAATATAAACATCCTCATCACATCTTCTAGTGTGATATAAATAACAATAATATCCGTTTATAACCTCTTTTCTAACCAGTTTATGTTTCAAATGTACTTGCAATTAAAATCTCCTTATTAAATCAGTCTCCTGTTTTTTTGTGTTCTTATTTAAGTTTAATTTCGCGTCAATATTCGGAATATCTTTGTCAGTTATGGTTTCCTCAAGATTCATTACATTTCTGTAGCTAAGAGTGTTCATTTATAGACGCCGTCCTCGTATATTTTCTATAAAACATTTGTTTGGTCCCCGACACGCAGGTGATGGTGGAGGCCTACCGCCGAGACGCGCTTTCCAAAGATCAGCTGATCAGTGAACTGAAGGCCACCAAGAAGAAGCTGGATGCGGAAATCAAAGAGTTGAAGCGGGAATTCCTTCAGCTTCAGAGCGAGAAGAAAACCATGGAGGTGGAGAATTCCAAGCTAGCGAAGGAGCTGGTGCAGATTCAGCAGCAGATGGAGGAACTGGAGAGCCAGCTTCAGGTGGCCCAGAAAGAACGAAACGAGATGGAGACAGAGCTACAGGTGGGAAGGAAATTTAGATTTAAGAAATAAATAGAATGAATGAATGAATGAATGCCAACACATTGCTAGGCTGCATTAACAGAGGGATAGAATCAAGATCACGTGAAGTGTTAATACCACTTTACAAGGCCTTGGTAAGGCCACACTTGGAATATGCATCCAGTTTTGGTCACCAGGATGTAAAAAAGATGCTGAGACTCTAGAAAGAGTGCAGAGAAGAGCAACAAAGATGATTAAGGGGTTGGAGGCTAAAACATATAAGGAACGGTTGCAGGAATTGGGTATGTCTACTCCGATGGTAATTCTTCCTTTTTCCAATATTGTACAAATATGATTCTTGCCGCTGTTATCACATGTAAAATCAAATGTATACTTTGTTGAATCAATTTTTCTTGGCTGCTTTCTCCAAATTTCCCAGTCTTTGCGGTTTGACCAAGGAGAGATGTCGGCTCTTGTCAAAGTAAACGAAGACTTACAAAGACAAGTGGATGCAATGCAACAAGAAACAAAGATGTGAGTATGGCTCGCCTTAGTTTAGCTGAATCTAACACATTACCTGTATCCGTTTCTTAAGTAGTCTATTCCCCCGTGGGCGAAATGAGGCACGTCAGATAATATTGTGGGATTCTGCCGTTGCGCACGCCCTCATAGGTTGGCGTGCTAGTGTGACTTTGCGCTTTACAACCTTGCCACTTAGTGGCAGAACTCCCTGTCCCAAGCACTGTTGTTAACCAAGGGCCACCCGTGGTCCTCTACTTGAACACCGGTGACTCCATTTACTTGAACTAAAGGAACTTTTACTGAAAGAAACAAGTTGCAGCACAAAGTCAGGTGGAATCTGGTATTCCCGTGCAAAATACAAAGCTCTTCCTTTCAACCCCCAAGCCCTCCCCCCTCCCCATGGCCAGTCCCCCCCCTCCGTCCCTGGCCAGCCAAGGTGATGCCGGTACGATGTTTTGAGAAATTTTGAGGTGTGAAACTGGCACTCGTGTTAGAAGTCATGGTTCCGAAAGATGGAACCAAAGGACTTTGAGGCATTGTTAACCTTAAAGAATCTTTAATCGAGCAGCATAGCTTCGGTAGGTACATAGTTGAAGCCAAAATCTGACTTCCCCTCCCTTCAGCACCTAGATCAGTGTTTCTCAACCTTGACAATTTTAAGGCATGTGGACTTCAACTCCCAGAATTCCACAGCCAGCATTGCTGGCTGTGGAATTCTGGGAGTTGAAGTCCACGTGCCTTAAAATTGTCAAGGTTGAGAAACACTGACCTAGATCAAAGCACAATTCCCTCCTACAACTAGCAGTCATAAATCACATTCTCCAATTAGTTTGAAATGCTGGCTTCCTGCCCAGTTCCTCATCCCGCCATGCTTTATCAGCTCTTGTTACGATATTGTATGTCTACCTAACTCCCATCACATTCCTCCCCCTCCCCCAGTATCATCTAATTCTAAGAGTGCAGTATAAGAAAGGAAAAGGCTGCATCCCCATCTGTTGTCAAAGCAAGAACATCCAATGTTAGCAGTATTGACACCCGGGTTGAAAGGATTAGCCGGCTCCTTTCATGTTCCTGGCAGGAGCTGGAGCAAAGGACAGGAGCTTACCCCATCCCATGGCAGCACTCGGGGTCTCAAACGCGGTCTCGATGTTTGTCAACCAGCATCCACCAGGCAAGCCAGCCTGCTCCGTGACTGACCGGATGTTGTTTTCTGTTTGGTTCCCCGCGCAGGGCCATTACCGAACAGAAGCAGAACATGAAGAGGCTGGGTTCCGATCTGAACACAGCCCAGAAGGAGATAAAAGCCAAGCACAAAGCTTACGAGAATGCCGTGGGGGTCCTTAGTCGGCGGCTGCAGGAGGCCCTGGCGGCCAAGGAGTCGTCTGAAGCGGAACTGAATGAACTCAAGGCGCAGATCTCCGAGAGTGAAAGTAACCAAGCCAGCCTAGTAAGTCAACCTCACTTCCTTTATCTTCTAAGATCTGCGCCCTCGTTCGAGTGGGGACACTAACCCAGATGTGGCTGTTGGCCTTACAGGAGAGGATCCGGATGCTGGAGGCGGAAGTGCAGTCTCTGACCCACAGTAAGATGGTCCTCGAGAAGGAGCTTCAAGAAATCATCTCTCTCACCAGCCAGGAACTGGAAGAATACCGAGAGAAAGTCCTGGAGCTGGAAGATGAGGTAATGGCTAAAGGGAAAGAGGTCAGTATTTTTTTTTCTTTCTGAGGATGCAGTGCAGGGTCTTTAACGGGGGCAAAAATGGTTTGTGTGGCCACACAGCTTCAAGAAGCCAGAGGCTTCCGGAGGAAGATCAAACGCCTGGAAGATGCCAACAAGAAGCTCTCCCTCGAACTGGAACACGAGCGTGGAAAGCTCACTGGCCTGGGCCAGTCCAACGCAGCTCTGCGGGAGCACAACCGCATCCTCGAAGCCGCTCTGGCCAAGAGAGAGGCGGATTTGGTGCAGCTGAATCTTCAGGTAATCTTTTCCTCTTCCTCCTCCTCCTCCTCCTGTTCTGCTCCTCCTTTTCCTCCTCTTTCTCCTCCTCTTTCTCTTTCTCCTTCTGCTCTGCTCCTACTTCTCCTCCTTCTCTTTCTCCTTTTTCCTTCTCCTCCTTCTCTTTCTCTTCCTCTCTCCTTCTGCTCTGCTCCTACTTCTCCTCCTTTTTCCTTCTCCTCTTGCTCTGCTCCTTTTTCTCCTCCTCCTCTTTCTCTTTCTCCTTCTCCTCCTGCGCAGCTCCTCCTTTTTCTTTCTTTCTCCTTCTGCTCTGCTTCTCCTTCTCCTTCTTCTCCTTCTCCTCCTTCTCTTTCTCCTCCTCCTCGTCCTCGCCCTTGTCCTTCTACTCCTCCTTCCCACCCACCCCAGTCTACTTCTCCCTAGGGGTGAACATGCTAAACAATTCCTAAGTCTGTGATGGTTATAAGAAAGTATAGGTAGCCCTTGACTTACGACCACAACTGATCCCAAAATTTCTGTTGCTAGGCGAGACCTTTGTTGAGTGAGCTTTGCCCCATTTTACGACTTTTCTTGCCCCAGTTATTAAGCAAATCACCGCAGCTGTTAACTTAGTAGTTTAGTTTAGTTTATTGTATTTATATCCCGCCCTTCTCCTTACGGACTCAGGGCGGCTAACAGCCAGATAAAACAATTATGGTTGTTAAGTGAATCTGGCTTCCCCCGTGGATTTGGTTGGTCAGACGGTCGCAAAAGAGGATCGCATGCCCCTGGGACACTGCGTCTGTCATAAACATGAGCCCCTTGCCAAATGTCTGAATTTTGATCACATCACCACGGAGCTACTGCAACGGTCGTAAGTGTGAAGAACGGTCCTAAGTCATTTTTTTCCGGTGCCGTTGTAACTTTGAACGGTCACCAAACAAACTGTTGTAAGCCGAGGACTATCTGTATCCTAAGGTGCTGCGTTCTTAATCTGATCGTGGCTCCATCTGATCTCATACTGCAGCTGCCCCAGTGGATGGCTTCCAGAGGTTTTAGATCGGTGTTTCTCAACCGTGGCAAGGTTAAGATGTGTGGACTTCAACTCCCAGAATTCCCCAGCCGACCACGAATCGAAGTCCGTGCATCTTAACCTCACCAAGGTTGAGACACACTCCTTTCGACTGCAGCTACCCTGACTCTCATCCAGCAAATCTCCAGTGCCAAGGCCGCTTCTTTGTCCTGCGACGAATTAAAATAATAAATCAATGCAGAAACGGATGCTGCATTCTCTGTGTGGTGATCTTCCCATCTCCAGGTCCAGGCGGTTCTGAGGAGTAAGGAGGAGGAAGATCAAAAGATGAAGCAGCTGATCCAGACTTTGCAAATGGCTTTGGAGAAAGAGAGAGCAAATGTCCTAAGCCTTAAGGAACAGGTACAGTCCTGGCTGAAAGTGTTCAGAACTTGGTTAAGGGCTCTTGGCGGGCTTGGGCAGGAGGTCAAGATTGTATACTGTGTAAATGAGCAACTTGGCCCAGAATTACGGTGAACATAGCCAGAATTTAAGACTTGGGAATGCGGTGTACCCAGGGAGAGAAGAAAGGAAGCAGGTTTAGATACATCTGACTTCCCACCAGCCTAACCAGGTAGACCAGATAAACCTAATAAACTAATTCTACTTTATTGTAAAGCTACCTTGACAGAATCTTACCAGGTTTGAAAGTACAATTCTCCCACCGTCTCCTTTACAGCCTGAGAAACTTAAGGTAGATCTCTTCTCAGTCTTTGCCCCACCCATTATGCAACTAAGAGCCATGCTGTCTCTTATCTGGCCATTTCCTAAGCAACATCTCTTTTAGAAGTCCGCCCCCATCGTCCTACAAATGAGTTGGACTTCAGCTCCCAGAATTCCTAGCCAACACAACTGTAATCTTTGGTCTGGGCGCTGAAACCTGACGCATTTGTAGGATAAAGGCTACATGTTGTCAGTATAGTAATGATGCAACGTACCGTGACAGGTTACAACCTCAAAAGCGGAGTCGGCACACAACCGTCGGCATTACAGAGCTGCCGCCCTGGAACTTGGCGAGGTCAAGCGAGAGCTGCAAGGGAAAGAAGTTCTCATCCAGGCCCTCCAGGCTGAAGTCGACAAGTTGCAGTGAGTGTGTAAACCCAAAGGAAAGACTGATGTTCCTAAGGCTGTAGGCAGTTGGCTGCCTTAGTCGTGTGCGAACTGTGCAAATGGGGGGAGGGAACCTTGTGTACCTGGGACAATGAGCTAGAGAGGCCACCTAGAGAAGGACTGGCGGAACCTGGGCGGGTGGAGTCAAAAGAGGTAGCAGCCTGGAATCCCTACGTAGCCACAAGTCAATTAAGTCCAATCCCTTCTTGAGTGCAGTTGACCCGTATCTAACTTCTAGCAGGTGCTAACTGCGACTTGAGAAGATTCCCGTGTCTCACGTAGCAACATAAATTTTGGGCTCAATTGTGGTCATAAATCAGGATCACCTTCTTCAATAATGCTGTTGGTCTGTAGTTTCTGAGGGCATTGGCCTTCTCAAGGTGATTTGAGTCTCTGTCAGCCGTCCCAAAAGAAACTCCGGGAACATTATTTTACCAAGAGTATAACTTCACTGAGACATCCATACAGGGCACAGAAGAGGCGGAGCCGGCTCTGAGGTTTTTGCCCGGAAAAACAGCGTAATTAATTTCCCCTTTTCCCCATTTGGGCCACCCCTTGTCCCTTGTCCACCAATCCAGTCTTGAGCTTTTCTCAGGCTGGAAACGGCTCCCATAAATCCCTCACCTCCCTCCCCCCAGCACTTCAAGCTAATTGGAGAATGTGATTTATGACTGTTGTGGGAGGGAATTGCGCTTTGATCTATGTGCTGAAGGGAGGGGAAGTCAGATTCTGGCTTTCAGTCATGTAAGTGCGGGAAGCTATGCTGCTCAATTAAAGATTCTTTAAAGGTAAACAATGCCTCAAAGTTCTTTGAAGAGTTTCATCTATCGGAACCATGACAGGTGCGTTATGAGTCAACCTGGACACACTCTCTCTCTATTCTAGGGCAGAAGGCGGAGCGCACTCCGAGGAAGTCTCTCAGATCCAGCGAGACCTTGTAGACGCTCGGTCCCAGCTTCAGCTTCTGCAGAAGCAGCTGGACGACCAGCTTGGGAAGCAGCCCGCAGAAAATCAAGAGGTGAAATCTTGGTCTTTGGCCGTTCTTTTTCTCCTGGATGTGCCTTTGTGGCTTAGTAGAAAAACCCTGAAGGAACGCAGTAGAAGAAGACCATCACCCGTGAAAAGGAAATTGGGTGGAAGGGGAGGGGGGAATTGTTCCGAATCGGTGAAGAATCCATGGTGCAGCTGCATTGGAAATGTTCAGTGTATTCTGAAAAGGCATATCAGAGCTGGAAAAAACCAAAATAGTAGAAAAAGGGCAGCCTGTAATTGTTAAATGTTTCCTTTTAAGCGTAAAGATTAGGAGCTTGGATTTTTTAACCGGGGTGGGGAAAAGACAAAAGAATTGCTATGCGTTTTGTTTGCATTGTTCTATTATAGCCCATCAGTACTTGGAATCTGAATGTAGGGCTCTATTTGCGCTGCCCCATATAATAAAATTATAGCTCTGCCTGCCACAGGGCCTGCCTCCTGGCTCTGTTGGCACTCCCAAGTTTGTGTCAGGCTCCAAAAACTGAGAAAGAGACGCAGAATTACTTACTTCTGAGCAGTGTCCTTTATTGTTCCTCGCCTGTAGACCGAATCTTGCCAAACTCAAGCAAAGTACTTACATCATTAACGATATACTCTGAGAACTTCTACAAATGAGCTATGTTGGCCCTCTGCCTCTCAACCAAACTATCTAAACTTCCCTGTCTCTTGGTCCTCTGGAATGCAGCCCCCCTCCCTGCTGGGAATCCAGACCGCATTCCACCACATCGTGAAATTACTTCTCGGAGAGAATGCTTTTGAGCCAGGATTGGTAGACGGATAGTTCAAATTCTTGAACGTTCTTCCTTGGGGTTCCTTAGTGGATGATTGTGTGCAAAGGATAGCCCCCTTTGAAATGTACTGTGCTTGGCACTAAATGGAAGCCTATTGACCCCTGGGGCTGCAAGAAAGGAAGCATGCCGTGATTTTGAGTTGCCTGTTTTGTTCTTGCAGCTGGAAGACCTCAGATGGGAGGTTGAGCAGAAAGAGAGGGAGTTCCAAGCTCTGAAGCAACAGCTGGATTTGACTGAGCAGCGCGGTCAGAAGGAGCTGGAAGGCGTGCAGCTAGTCCTCCAGGTATTTCCACTTGGTCCTACAGATGTTTCCCCTCCTGGGCAGGTCATTCTGAGAGAATTAGAGGCCAAATAGGATTCCGAGCGAATAAAAATAAGATCAGAGATGTTCCAGGCCTGAATTCAGATTCTGCTTCAGACTTAACTAAGGCTACTGTTCTAGAATCACTCTCTCTGGCAGTGAAGGTTCACACATCACACTGAGCTAAGACGTGGTTTATCTGGCCTTGGGTTCAGTGTATTGTGTGAAGCCAGTTATCGTAATTGAAAAACCACTGCTTATTGCTCGGTGTGTTGGGTAGACCCCATTGTGATGTCGTCAACCCATCCTGGTGGACTCAAATAATGCCTTAATACAAGTACGTGAACTCGGCCAGTTTTCTTCTGAGTAGACAGGATAAACTTGTGCTCGAATTAGACTTATTTTTCTGCGATGATCATTGCTTACTGTTCCTTGGCTAAACTTACTGTTCCTTCTAGAACCTCAGGATGGAATTGGAGATGGTCCGGGACGATTTGTCCCTCACCCAGAAAGATAAGTTCACACTGCAGGCAAAAATGTCTGAACTGAAGAACAGCATCAAGACGCTGCTCCAACAGAACCAACAGCTGAAGCTGGATTTGAAACAGGGAAAAATGAAAAAGGTATCTTGAGAAAGGTGGATTGTTCCTCTGTTTTTACACCACAGCTGTCTCGCCAGCCTTGATCCCAAGCCTGGTCATAAATATGAGTCAGTTGACAAGCCTGTGAATTTTGGTCACACGACTATGGAAGTGCTGCAGTGATCGTAACTGTGAAAAACGGTCACAATAAGTCACTTTTTCCAGTGATGTTGTAATTTCAAACGGCAACTAAATAAACTGTTGTAAGTCAAGGATTAAATGTATTGGGGTGTCTGGATCTTGGGAGGCAAGATGTAAAGACTTCTAAGTTCTCCACTGTTAACTGCAAACCTGAAAGTAAGTTGGTCGTTCATGGGCTTTTGTTTTCTTTTGAAAAGAAAAAACTCAAGGGAGAGACCAGCTCAAATCCGGTGACGCCAGTGAAGGTCCCCGATTGTCCGGTCCCTGCTGCTTTGCTAGAAGAGCTATTGAAACCTCCATCAGCTGTGAGTAAAGAGCCACTGAGGAACCTCAACAGCTGCCTCCAGCAACTCCGGTGAGTCACGTTTTTCTGTCTTTTTTCCAACTCCTGTTCTCATCAGTTCAAGGTGGACTCAGCCTTCCATCCTTCTGAGGTGGATAAAATGAGGACCCAGATGGTTGGGGGCAATTTGCTAACTGTACAAAGTGCTTAGAGTGGGCTATAAAGCAATGTGAGGTGGTATATAAGTCTGAGTGCCATTGCTATTGCTGTTCTGTTCTGTTCTATTATTCTGTTCCATTCCATTCCATTTTATTCTATTCCATATTTTCTCTATTCTATTCTATTCTATTCTATTCTATTCTATTCTATTCTGCTATGGTGGCGCAGTGGTTAAAATGCAGTACTGCCCACAGCCAGGAGTTCGATCCTGACCGGCTCAAAGTTGATGCAGCCTTCCGAGGTCAGTAAAATGAGGACCCAGATTATTGGGGGCAATTTGCTAACGGTATAAAGTGCTTAGAGTGGGCTATAAAGCACTGTGAGGCGGTATATAAGTCTAACTGCCATTGCTGTTGGTATTGCTATTCTGTTCTGTTCTATTCTATTCTTCATTATTCTATTCTATTCTATTTTTCATTATTCTGTTCTGTTCTGTTCTATTCTTCATTATTCTATTCTATTCTATTCTATACGACCCAGATTGTTGGGGGCAAGATGCTGACTCTGTACACCGCTTAGAAAGGGCTGTAAAGCACTATGGGACGCTATATAAGTCTAAGTGCTTTTGCTAAGGCTGAGTCAACCTTGAGCCTGTCAGGATAAAACTCCAGGCTGTGGGCATTCTGACCACTGGGCCACCACTGCTCTAAACAGTCGTTCTGTTTCTCTTGTGTGTTTCTGCTCTTCTCAAAGGCAAGAGATGGACAGCCTGCAGCATCAAATGGAAGAGCACACCGTAACGGTCCACGAATCGATGTCTTCCTGGACACAGATCGAAGGCCAGTTAACGGACCCTAGTACTAATCTCTCTGTAACTCTATTAGCCAATGAGAATCTTCCTCACAGAGACCTCCAGGATCAAAAGCCAAGCACGGGCATCAAGGAAGAGTTGACCCTGTGATCCCACCCAGGCCCACGGATTTCCATCAGAACTGCTTTAAGTATGATTGTTGGTTTTTTTTTTTAAAAAAAGTATTTATCAAAACCCTATTTATATTTTGTTCTTAAAACATTTTAAAGTCCTTAGTCTACGGTTCGTGTTAGTGAAGAGGGAGAAAAAAATGGCAAGCTGTGGCTTGATCAGACCTTTGTTTGTCGTGCTTGCGCAGAAGTAGAGATGGGGGGCTGGAGCAGAGACAAAGGACCTCAAGGTTAGCTGTAGTAAAGCCTTTGAGAACTAAACATTCGAATTAGGATGGCTGCAGAGAGAAGATAAAACAGGGTCCCTTTTAGTTTCCACTTTTTAAAGTTTGCTAAACTGGTTTGGTGACGGTTTTGGTCCACTTCAGGCTTGGGAATTCCAGGACCGTTCATGGATACTTTGGCAAAATCCAGTATTTTTGTTATTACGTCTTTGATCCGTGTTCCAGCAAAGCAACTAAATTGCTCATCTCAAAACCACAGTGAAGCCATCTCCGATGGCCACCAATTGATTTGGCTCCCAAGAAAATGATTTTCCAGTAAAATATTTGGATTCCTCTCCTGACAGATGCGGTTTGCACAATTTTTGTTGTTGGTCTTTGCAGACATCTGCAGTGCAGAGTTGTGTGTGTGTGAGACGTTGCTTTGTTCTGGAGCATCTTATATATATATGGATTCTACTGTAGATGGCAAATAACCTGGGTCGGTTTTTATTTTTGTCTTAACTAAGGTGACTTGTTAAGTGTTGATGTCCTGCAAAACATGTCGTTACGGGCGAAAACCAGAGCTTTTTAGATAATTAATTCACATTTTGTATCTTTTCAGAGAGAACTGTTCTATTCTGCCTATCAAATCCTAGTTAGTTTCTTAGCTTTAATTCCATCCCCTACCCCATTTTTTTTCCTCCCAAGACTTAACCAGAAGCCAGAATTATTATTACTTTTTTTGCAAATGCATCTTCACTTATAATTAATCGGTTGAAACAATAGCCTTTTTTAATTGTTTCTCAGCAACTGACAGCTCAGAGCTGCGTACTTTTCGTGCTCTGGGTTGAATGAAGCACAGGATTTTAACCTGGCCAAATTGCACTGTAGGATAATGCTAGGAAATAAAAGGAAGAGTGAATTGGAGGACACAAATGTAGGAGATATTGTGATCTTGGCTGAAAGTTATGGGTGCTTGGGGTGTAGAATCAGGCGAGGGAGTCCCGTACAAGACAGTTGTGAAATCTGCAATTATGGGTCTCATCCTGTCTTCATGCACATCACATTAAGGGAGCATATTAGATTGCCCCCCAAAATGCCATCAATCTAATGTCCTCCATCACCTAATCCTGGTTGAGACTATTTTATGAACCTGATTGAGGACTTTGAATCTTTAATGAGCTGTATCCTAACTGAAGATGGATCACAGCATTTAACTGTCATGGCGGGAGACATCACATGAAGAAAACAAGAAGGTAAATAATGCTTGGAGAACAAAGTGGATATAAAGGAAATTCAGTGAAGGAAAACTGGGTCCCAGGGCTAAACCGAAGTCTTTAACATTTAGACAATTTCATGGATTATTAAACTCTGTTAAACCTGATGAAGGGAATTTCGAAGCAGGACTAACAGATGGACCCAATCTATAAATTAAATTTCTGTTTCAAGTCTGACCAAAGAAAGTCCCCCAACTTTGAGTGGTATGGATTGATTGAATGCGGACGGATTATTTTTCCCAATATTTGTAGAAATGTCATTCTGATTTTCCTGTTAAAGCCAAGACATTTTTTTCTCTAGGTATTCTGCTTTTTCTTTTTCTTTTTCAAAACAGACTTTAAATGGACACTTTGATTGTTCAACTCTTTTTTTTTTCCAACCTGATTTTCAATATTTTTAATATTCTGAACAATGATTCTGAAAGTTCTGTGAAGCATTTGGGGTCGTCCCCCCCATCTAATACATGAAGGAAATGTTCTCTTTAAATGGAAAGCTTTTTAAATTTGAGGGGAAGGAGTCTCAGTTATGCTTAACTATTTGATAAGACTAACCCACAATCATCAAGACACCATCTTGAAGGCTTTAGGGGTCAATTTAGATAGGTGGTAACTTTTATTATAAAGTTGGTTTTATACAGTAAAATAGCAATGGTTTTTTTGCTGCTCATATCTGTGAAGCTTATGTATCCACTAATGTAAGCAAGAAATACTTTAGTATTTAAGCACCAAAGTTAATATTACATAATGAATAATATACATATATATGATCACTTCCCAAATTTGCTGTTCCACTTAACTGTTTGCGTTTCACAGTGTTTGATTTACCCATGAAGGTTTTTCTGAGCGGCCTATCAATAGTCACAGCTGAATGCAACGTACGTAGTATAAAAATCAGATTATTAAAATTTTTTTTGTATTCCTTCAACAATTTGGGAGAGGTGAAGGGACAAGAACCGGGAGAAAACGCCATTGTTGCATTTTTACTAAATGAAAAAATCCATTTCTCCCGTTTCCCTTTTCCAGACCGTTTTATTTATATTTCCCGCGACTTGTTATTTTGACTAGGAAAGAAGCGGGTCGTGTAAGTCTGGGAAACTCTGACTCAGCAAATTTCCTCTCCGAAAATACTGTCATATTTTTAAAAGTGCTGTCATTTAATTCATACTTCAAGAAACCAGGGTTGTGGAGGGCTCTCCAGCTGTACTTTCAGACGAGTCAAGATCTATAAATGAGTCAGGCTGGTCCCTTTGAGCTTGTTTTTTTTTAAAAAAAAAATTATTCAAAAATAAATAATAGAGCATTTATGGTTACTGCATTTTTTTTAAAAAAAAAGTCTGTTTATTCATCCTTGGAAGGTAACAGCTAGATGTGACGGTTTTCAGTGTTTTTCTGTATCTTAGCAAAGGATTGTTCTGAAGGCTTAAACCTGTCAGTGTTCACAGCCATTTTCTGCAGTGCAAACCATATGGTGAATGTTAGTTCACCTTACAGTGAATTATTTGGAGATTTTTGTACTCTGTGAACTTTTCCTTGTGCATCATCAATTTCATTCTCCAATCCAGCAGTGCTTGTCTCATTCTAACAGGGAAAAAAATTCTTCCTTGAAAGAAAAATACTTTTTTTTAGAGAGAACCAGCGTTTGGGAAAACTGGTTCTTCTCTATATCAAAATTGTAATTTTTTTGGGGGGGATAAGCAGCTGTACTAAGTAGCAAGGGAGCACTGATGCTAGGTATCATCTTTACAAACCAAATTACATCACTGACTTTTTGAGTGACAGATACATAATAAAAGTAGAAAGTTGCTTTAATTTAGAAAATGATTTCTGGTCCCATTTATAATGAGGATCTATTTTAAAGTAGTGCTTTTCTCCCCCTTGCTTGAAAATGCAGAATGCTTACTTACCCTCGGAGACGGGAAAAAATTTAGATTCTTAGTCCTAGGAATCCGTTCTCTAACAATAGCCGCGCAGAGTATTCTTTCTGCTTTCCACAAAGAGCATCTTACGCATATCATTTTCTCAGATTTTTCTTGTTCCCAGCAAAATGTTTGTCTGATTCTATTTAATGAGGGGGGAAAAATGTTGTTCTCATAACATGTTTGAATGAGTGTTCCAAAGGAAGAGTTAGATGTGTTTGATTAAAGATTAATAATTGTGCTTTAAAGAAACAGGGCATGTTAATTTAAGAAAAATCTAAGATACGCTAAACATTCTGGAAAGGTTTTGTGCAATAAACTATTTTCATTAAAAAAAATATATGAGTCCACGGTGTAACTTGAACTCTATAGGAGGAGAGCCATGTTAGTCTAACAGCAGTCTATGAAATCTGTGATCATTTGAGTCTGGTCCTTTGTACTTTGAGTGGGGATTCTGGGCTGGTTTGGTGAGTGATTCATTAATTTTTTGGGACTGTCCACTGTAACTCTCATGTGTCCAGCTCTCCTTTAAATGTACATCCCATCAACTGTACAGGTAGTGACTGTTCAGGGTTATAATGACACTGAAAAGTGACTTATCACCATTTTTCACACTTATGACCGTTGCAGCATCCCAGTGGTCACGTGATCAAAATTCAGATGCTTGGCAATTGACTCATATTTACAACTTGCCCCGTCCAGGGATCATGTGATCCCTTTTGTGGCCTTCTGACAAGCAAAATCAATGGAGGAAGCCAAATTCACTTTACAACCGTATTTCTAACTTCACAACTGGCCTGATTCACTGAACAGCAAGACAGGTCGTAAAAATGGGGCAAAGGTCACTTGACAGCTATCTCAGCAATATATATTTTGGGCTCAGTTGCCCAAATCGTAAGTCCAGGGCACGGGTCTTCAAACGTGGCCCTTTGATGACTTGTGGACTTCAACTCCCAGAATTCCTCAGCCGGGCATGCAGGCTGAGGAATTCTGGGAGTTGAAGTCCACAAGTCATCAAAGGGCCAAGTTTGAAGACCCCTGTTCCAGGGCTACCTGTAGGACAATTCTGATAGAAGGGGCCTCTTTAAATAACTATTTCCAATAATAGTGAAAATAATAGTGAAAATGCCTTTGGTTGTTTCTGTTTCTTTGACATAACAAAACAAGAAGTGGATTCTGCTAAAAAAAAAAACAGATCAGAGATAAAATTGGCCAGAAAGTTGAATTTTAATAAACTGAAAACTCAGTTTATTTGCAAACATATTTGCAAACCATATGCTAGCAAAGAGTCAAGCGCAACGTGGCTTTGCAGAACCCGAGAGAACTTCGTTGCACTCCCCACTTCCGGTTTCTATGCGACTCCGCTTATGCCACTCACCTCTAGCCTTTGCGTGGCAGCCTGGCCAACTTCAATCGGAAACCGGAAGTGTCTCCCTGCGGCTCCTTTCCCTGGCCCTCAAGCCGTTACTTTCTCAAGGCTCCTCAACAAGATTGAGCTACACTTCCCATGCTTCGCGGGGATGATGGGCTTTTGTTCCATTCATGCAGGGAAGGCAGAACTCAACCCTCGAATTTCGGACAAGGGCTTCCCGTCAGGCAGCGCGGCACACACCCGTCCCCCTGCGTGACGTGGCGGGCCGCGATTGGTCACCTCGGCGCCTCAGGCTTTTTCTTTTGTTTTTCCCCCCCCCCTTCAAACTCTCAAGGGCGCGCGCGAGGCCCCGCTTCGCCGTCGAGGCTGCGGGAACAACCGGGGAGAAGTCCGCGCCGGGTCCCTTAGCCCCCTCAGCGGAGGCGAAGCGAGGCCGACGACTTCGGCGCAGGCACGCGCGGACGTCGGTTGGAGCGACAGGGAAAGGGCGCCGCGCGCGCCTCTGCGCCTGCGCGGAACGCGCCGGGAAGCCGCTCACGAGGTACCGCCCGGGGTCCCCCCGCGAGGCCATTCCCGCGCGTGCGCAGTGGCGTGGTCGGTCGGTCGGCCGGGCAGGCGATGGAGCGCTGGGTGGCGGCCGGCTGGTCGGGCTGGGGCGGGTTGTGGCGGGCCGGCTGGGCCGGCTGGCCCGCCTGGGAGCTGCTGGCCGCTTGCGCCGTCATCGGCGCGCTGGGTTGGCTGCTGCGGCTGCTGGAGCGAGGCCCGCGCGGGGGGCGAGGCCTGAGGCCCAGCGCGACGCCTCGGGCTCCGTCTCCGCCGCCTCCCGAGGAGAGGCCTCCGCGCTGCCTCGACAGCTGCGACGGAGGTGAGAGGCCTTTCCCCGGTGGGGGAGTGGGGATCGGGGGGGGCGGGGTTGCTGTCTTTCTCCCACGACCACCTCCCTGCCAGGTAGGCCGCTTGGGGGGGGCGCCTTGGACTCCCTCGCGCTGGGGATGATGGGCGCTGTAGTCACCCCAGAGGGGGGTCTTGCGATCCAAAGGTGGGGGGGCGAGAGGTTTGCTAATATATATATATATATATAGAGAGAGAGAGAGAAAAAGAGAAAAGAAAGGCTGTAGGGATGGGAGACCACCAGGTAAGCCTGGAGGAGCAGGTGAGCCAAGCAGAAGGCCAGGCTGCTGTTCTCCTATGGCCTGAATGGGCTTTGGGGTGAGTTGTCCTGAACCTTTGGGAAGCCTCTGTTGCACGTTTAATAGAATAACAGAGCTGGAAGGGACCCGGGAGGTCCTCTAGTCCAACCCCCTGCTCAAGCAGCAGACCCTATACCTGTAGGTGTGCACACACACATTTCTGCTCTGTACCTCTATAGCTCATTTCTGCTATTTCACAGTTTTGCTGTAAACCATCTGAAGAAGAGCCGTCCCTGGCCACAATCCCACCTAAACAGTTTGGTTTAATGGTTAAGGCAAAAGGCTAGAAAGCCAGAGGTGGTGAGTTCTAGTTCTGCCTTATGTATGAAAGACCAACTGGGTGACTCTGGGCCAATCGCCCAGGAGACTGTGAATTCTAGTCTCGCCTTAGGCATAAAAATCAGCTAGGTGACTTTGGCCCAGTCCCTCTCAACCCAATTCACAGGATTGTTGTAGAGAAAATAGGAGAAAGAAAATGTGTTGGATATGTCTGCTGCCTTGGTTTTTTATAAAAATAATAAAAGCGGGATGCAAATGAGCAGATAAAATGCACAGTGAATCACACACTACCTAAAACATGCCTGTTAAAAATGTGGCATAAAATTACCCTTTCCTCTCCCTCCTGCTCCTCCTCCTCTCTTGTTGTTTGTATCCCGCAACATCCACGACCAGCTATCGATGCAAAAAAAAAAAAAAGATGGCAATTATGACATCTGATGCAACTACACAAATTGCATCATTTGCCAGTTGTCAGGATGCCTGTGCCATCACTTGGTCCCCCTCTGTGAATTCCCATGCTATATTTATTTTGGGTATGAAGCCTCTGGGGATGCACAGATTATCGTGATGTAGGCAGATGGGACTGCCCAAATGTCAAGTGATTCTAAGGAGCTTCGTATTTAAGGAATATTCAAATGGAAATGCAGAGTTTTTGAAGCAAAAAGAAAAGACACTTTCTCCATGGTAGTTCCAATTTAGATTCTTAGGCTCACTAAACACAGTTGTTTAGGTTTGGTAACATAGAAGCAGAATAAGAAAAAAATAATAATTTGTGCATAAAAATAGTTATTATTTCTGTCCTCTTGTATTTGTTTTGGTTTTACATCAAAGCCATGTCTTTTCCAGCTGGTTCTTTTTCCTGGGAAAGCCAAACATGCTTGGAAATAAAATCAAATCTGAGTTCCCTAAAGAAATTTGATTAATTAAAGCATTCCCAATAAATATTTATTCAGACTGCTTGAGTCACTAGTAAACGGTTGCTTTCTGGATAGTGATTTTACTGTTGCACCCAATGTGATCGATGACATGAAAGCAATATGTATTTATATATTTAGATTAAAAGTATAGTATTCATTTGTGATCAACAGTAATAACATTTGCAAAGATGTCTAAATATTCTAGGATAAGCCTTTCAGATTCTGTTGAATGCAAAGATATATATAATCCAGAGGAACTGTTTCAAGATGACTTGAGATTTCGGTTAGATTAATGTCTGAAGTATTTAGGCTCCCCAAGAAGGTACTAAATCAGGGGTCTTCAAACTTGGCCCTTTTATGACTTGTGGACTTCAACTCCCAGAATTCCGAGGAATTCTGAGAGTTGAAGTCCACAAGTCATAAAAGGGCCACGTTTGAAGACCCCTGTACTAAATACATGTTAAATTAGCATTTCTTTAGCAGCACCTGTATTCGATTTGAAACAATACAGAGGAAAAAAACCCTAAAAGAATTTTCTGGCAGGAGGGCCAATTTATTTTCCATTTTAAAAGAAACCAATCTGCTTTCAAAACCCATGATTTTGTGGAAAGTTGCTAGCCATTTTCTCTTGTAAAATAGGGGTAAATTTAATATATGCACTAAATTTAATACTCCACTGAAACGTTCTGTTTTTATTTATGTCTATTTCTAGTCGTCCGAGGCAGCTTCCCTTTTAGGGCTGAGATTTTGCTCTTACTTCGTTCTATTTTTAAATAAAGGAGCAGAAGTGGATTTAAGCATTCTGCCAGATGCTTAATGATTAAAATCTAGAATAATGCTTGCTGCTAACATTAGACCCTGTGCTAAAACAGAAATAGATTAAGATTAATGGTCTGATTTTTTTTAACGCTACAGTAACTTTGAAGATTGAACATGTTTAATTAGTTATTAAATGTGTTTCAATCCTGCTGTAACAGAGCTTATCATCAAACTGCTCTTATCTAGAGGTTTTTTTTCCTTTCTTTTAAGTCTGGTGTCCTGGGGAGGGGGGGTTGTCTAAGCCCATCAGCATGCTGGCTGGGGAATTCTGGGAGTTGGTGTCCTCGCATTTTAAAGTGGGCAAAGTTGAAAAACACAGACCCAACCAATGTGGAACATAACGGACCAATCCTTCTTTTGACTCGGCCCGTATTTTGAGCCTAAAATTTCTGTTTGTGAAGTGAGACATTTGTTAAGCGAATTTTACCCCATTCTACGACCTTTCTTGCCACAGTTGTTAATGAATCACTGCAGTTGTTAAGTGGGTAACATGGTTGCTAAGGGAATCTAGTTCCCCCCATAGACTTTGCTTGGCAAAAGTTGATCACTTGAACCCCGGGACTTTGAGTCCTAAATACGAGCCAGTTGCCAAGCCTCTGAATGTTGATCACGTGATTCTTGGGGTTGCGAGTGTGTGAAAATCAGTCATAAGTCACTTTTTCCCCCAGTGCTGCTGTAACTTCGATCACCAAACGAACTGTGGTAAGTCAAGAGCTTACCTGTATTTCTGATGGATTAAACAATCTGGTTTTATTTTTTGTTTTTTGGGGGGGGGGTTTATTTTGCCTACAGGGAGGATAACAATGGACGAAATCTTCTCCCGACTAAAACAACTGACCCCCGATGAGCTGAGAGAAGAAATTGTCAAAGCCGGCCTGAAGTGCGGGCCCATCACGCTGACCACCAGGTCCATTTTTGAGAAAAGATTGGCCCAGGCTTTATGGGAACAGCAGGGACCCTTGGAGCCCACGGCTCCTGTTTACAACGGCGTTCCGGAAACTGCTGCGGCTGACGGGAACCAGCCAGAACCTGGAAAAACGAACGGCCACCTTGCCTCCCCCGAGGAGGGCGATTTTGGCTACGGCATGGGTCTGAACCCGCCTGAGGAGGAAGCCCTGATGCGGGAAGCGAACGGCTCCCCTCTTCGCTCCCAGATTCCCTCCAAAGAGCCTTTGCTGTACTACGGGGTGTGCCCGGTATACGACGACATCTTGACTAGAAATGGTAAGAGTTTCTTTTATAAATAGAAATAGGTCCCTTCAGTGCCTCCTTCGTTGACAGTCTCCTTGCAGAGGTCATCCTCAACAACCGTTCATTTAGTGACCGTTTGAAGTTACAGCGCGACTGAAAAAGGGACATGACTGTCTTTCACACGTAAGACCGTTGCATGGTCCCAGTTAGAATTAGAATAGAATAGAGCTGGGAGGGACCTTGGAGGTCTTCTAGTCCAGCCCCCTGTTCAAGCAGGAGAACCTACACCATTTCAGACAGGTGATTGTCCAGTCTCTTCTTAAAAATCTCCAGTGATGGAGCACCCACGATTTCTGGAGGCAAAGCTGTTCCATTGGTTAATTGTCCTCACTGTCAGGAAGTTTCTCCTTAATTCCAGGTTGCTTCTCTCTTTGATCAGTTTCCAACCATTGTTTCTTGTCCTGCCCTCTGGTGCTTTGGAGAAGAATTTGACCCCCTCTTCTTTGTGGCAGCCCCTCAAATACCGTAATACTGCTATCATGTCTCCCCTATTTCTTCTTTTCTTTAGACTAGCCAAACCCAAGTCCCATAGCCGTTCTTCGTATGTTTTGGTCTCCAGGCCTTTGATCATCTTAGTTGCTCTTCTCTGAATTTTTTTCCAAACTCTCAACATCTTTTTTGTGATATGGTGACCAAAGTTGGCTGCAGTATTCCAGGTGTGGCCTTACTAGGGTTTTATCAAAATTCAGACACTTGGCAACTGACTCACATTTATGACGCTTGCAGTGTCCCGGGGACATGTGATTCCCATTTGCATCCTTCCCAGCCGGCGTTCAGCAAGCATAGTCAATAGGGGAAACCATTCACTTTAACAACTGCAGCGATTCGCTTTAAAAAAAAAAAAGTCATAAAATGAGGCAAAACTCAAACAACTACCTCGCTTCATAATGGAAATTTGGGGCTCAGTTGTGGGTGTTAAGTCGAGGATTGCTCCACTGAAAACACATCTTTTTCCCCCTAATACTCTCGACAGCTTCTCCCTGAAACTGTCCAGGCTGCTTGGTGCTGGTAGATCTTGCAGTCCCAGCAATATCTGAATTTCTGCAGCATGACTGTGAGAGCAGACAGCTCGCTGCTTTAGAGTCTTGAGACTCCCTTGAACCAGACAAATGCCAACGAGGCTTAATAGATGGCTTTCTCGTGGCCAGCAAATGAAAAATTCAGCAGGAGGGCATCGATCAGATTGATTTCCCACGCTTAATGTGCACGTAGCGCCAAGCGGTCGGATTACTTGAGAAGAAATGGCCGTCAAAGGAGACCATTTTAGTGTGATAGCAATAAATACTCGGCATAAAAATAGTGGTGCTGCATTTTCAAGGATCGATGCTTGGGCTGCGGTACCCAAAGCTTAACGCTTCTTGTGCTAGGAAATAAAAGTGGATTTTGATGTTGAATTTGTTAGTGGCCCATGTTTTTTTCCCCCTCTGCAAAATTTGGGGTATAAAAATACTGGTGTGTGTGTGTGTGTGTGCATGTGTTTATTTACTAAAGAGATCAGCTGGATATATTAATGATGATTTAGTATAACTTTAAGAGGAAGGAAATGACCCTGCATGAATCTTGAGCTTGCAAGCTTCCTCCATTCCTACTTTTCCTTGTTTTTGGAATTACAAAGATTTGTTTCTCTTGTTAGCTGAGTTGTTTGTTACATCCAGAACTGGCATTCTCCAGTTTGCTGGATTCAGGGACAGCCCATAGGCCAGATCCATCTTGCCCATTTTTTCCCAGGGACTGGTGCCTTTTTTAAAGACAGATTTTATCTCGTTCCAACTCTTGGCTCTTACCCATCTGACATACCCTTGTGGATGTATGGACTTCAGGCCAAATTCCCAATTCTGAATTAAATATTGATTTGTTCCAACAAGATAAGGTCAAGCTGTTAATTATAACCTGTTTTGAACTATAAAATCTTGAGCAGAAAAGTAAGAAATTGGCCCCAGAAGATGCAACAGATTCTTTCAGATCCCTTACAATAGTGTCAGAGGAAACATGAAAACATATACTGTAAATCTGATGGGCAATCGCTTTTTTTAATGCCGTCTTTGACTTGGACCCACGATTTTAAACAAATTAAAGGTGGTTTAGTTTCTCAAGAAACTAAATTGACTTGCTGATGAAAAAACAACCCAGCCTTGCATCATAGTCTTAGTGAGATGATTTTAACTCTGTTTAGCTTTTGTGTTCCAATATAGATGGTGTGTCCTTCAGCTTTAATTTAATTACCTCTTTGCAGTTTTGATTAGAGTTGACTGGTTTTGTGGAAGGCCCTGGAAAAAAATTGCAAATTTATGTGGTATTGTAGTTATTCTCCCAAAGTAAAATTCACCAAAGCAGATTGAATTGATCTGAGTGTTTTCTGCTGTAATCACCATTGCATAAAGTAGCTAAAACGGGACTTGCGATAAAAAGTAGAGGGACAGATTTCTTGACTTGGCATTGCCTTCTCTTTTCATCAGAAATGAATTTATTTCACTGCTGGTTTTTTTCCCCCCCAGAAAGGGTACATGTCTATGAGGACAAAAAGGAAGCCTTGCAAGCTGTCAAAATGATTAAGGGGTCACGTTTTAAAGCTTTCTCAAACAGAGAAGATGCAGAGAAATTTGCCAAAGGCATATGTGATTATTTCCCATCTCCAAACAAGTCTACCATCTCTCTGTCTCCTGTCAAAGTCTGTTCGGTCTTCAGTAGAGGTAAGTGGGAAGCTTAAGTGGGCTCCATAATGGCTTTTAAATGGCTTTAAACTGGTTTAAACACCGACTTTTTATGATACAGAATGATAATAATATAGAATAGAATAGAATAGAAAGAATAGAATAGAACAGAACAATAATAGAATAGAATAAGAATAATTAAAAGATTAGAATAGAACAATAATAGAATAATTAATAGAATAGAATGAATAGAATAAGGAATAAAATAGAATAAGGAATAGAATAGAATAATAGAATAATTAAAAGAATAGAACAGAATAGAATAGAATAATAGAATAATTAAAAGAATAGAACAGAATAGAATAATAATAGAATAGAATAGTAATAGAGTAATTAAAAGAATAGAACAGAACAGAATAGAACAATAATAAAATAATTAAATAGAATAGAATCTTTATTCCCCCCCCCCCCAATGCCTCACTCTGCTAAACAGTAATTCCCACAACACTGTCAAACTATCTAGTAAGGCTGTATTACTATTATTATTCTCAACTTTCCTATTACCTATCTCCTTATCTACTTTTGACTATAACTTTGTTGCTTGTATCTTACAATTTATATTGTTTTTAGTATCCTAGTATGATTTATGTTGATTGCTTATTTTAGTTATCCTATGACTATCACTAAGTGTTGTATCTTACGATTTGTGATGAATGTATTTTTTACGATGGCTAGGGTCAGGATTTATTGCTCATATGTACACTGAGAGCTTATGCACCGGAGACAAATTCCTAGTGTGTCCAGTCAAGCCAATAAGGAATTCTATTTATTGTCACTTTAAATGTGCACTAATCAGCATACATTAAAATGAAATTTCGTTGCATTCAGCTTTCAAACAAAACCAGAACCATTATGCACATACCCACATACACACACATATATATGACAGAGAAACATTGCAGTCTTTAAAAATGGGCTGTGCTTTAAAAATGAACGTGCAACGTTATAGAGAAGAGCATCCTCTGAATCTCAAGAGGAGCTAATAGAGCTGAAGTTGGCAATTAGAACTGCTTAGTAGGCTGTAGCTGTTGCTTAGCTCAGCCAGTGAGTAAGAATGCTGAATGTTACCTTTTAGGTGTGAAGGTTCGCTCTCCTACACCCAAGCTAGAAATATTCACCGCTATTGCAAAGTTACACTTTAATCGTATTACGGGGGCTTATGGCCTGCCTTAGAGTTTTAAAATTCACACTGTGAAGTTCTGTAGCTTGTGACGAATTAACCAAATGCTACTGGATGCCATTTCGGATCTTTTGCGTGCATAAATAAAGTATGCGTTTTGCGAATGCCCATGTGCATTATTTTTTTTTTGAGCCTGTATTGCATCAGGAGTGCGCGACGCTATTTATATCTTAACAGATGGTTTGTGCTCTCCTGAACTGGAAACGGTCAGTAAAGAAAGAGCCAACAGTTACAAAAGCCCTCGTACCCAGGATCTGACTGCAAAGCTTCGGAAAGCCGTGGAGAAAGGAGATGAAAGTGCTTTCTTAGAACTCATCTGGAGTAATCCCCGCTATCTCATCGGCTCCGGAGACAATCCAACGATTGTCCAGGTAAAAAGTGAAAAAAAGTGCCTTGGCCATAATCAGTTGCAGGATAAACGGATCCTTTTTTCCTCCTTTCCCCTCCAGGCGTGATTATGAAGCTGGTTTTGGGCCAGTCTTGGCATCCGAGCAATTTATTGATTTATCTATATCCCACCTTTATTATCTTTACAAATAACTCAAGGTGGTGAACATACTCCTTCCTTCTATTCGCCCCTATCCCCCCAATAACAACCCTGTGAGGGGCTCGGCTAATAGAAAGGGACTGGTCCAAAATCACCCAGCCAGTTTTCATGGTCAAAGTGGGACAATAACTCCCAGTCTCCTGGTAATTGGTCCAAGTCACCCAGTTGGATTTCATGGCGAAAGCAGGACTAGAATTCACCATCTCCCGGCAATTGGCCCAAAGTCACCCAGCTGGTTTTTGTGACTTAAGATAGGATTAGAACTCACCATCTCCTGGTGATTGGCCCAAAGTCATCTATCTGGCTTTCATGCCTAAGGCAGGACTAGAATTCACAGTCTCCTGGTGATTGGCCCAAAGTCACCTAGTCGGCTTTCATGCCTAAGACAGGACTAGAATTCATGGTTTCCTGGTGCCTAAAGTCACCCAGCCAGGTTTCATGTCTAAGGTGGGACTAGAACTCACTGTCTCCTGGTTTCTAGACCAACACCTTAGCCGCTATACCCAACTGACTCCAAATACACCATTTTGAAGTGACATCTGGTTTCTCTATAAGCTCATTTTAAGGCTGATAGCAGAAGTCTGGAGAGCCACCCCAGGAAAATGGAAGTTCTGTTATGCCGGGGTGGAGGAATCACAAATAGCGAAGAGGTCTGTTCTTTTTCTAGGAGGGGTGTCGCTACAACGTCATGCATGTGGCAGCTAAAGAGAATCAACCGGGCATTTGCCGGCTGCTGTTGGACACTCTGGAAAACCCAGAATTTATGCGGCTGATGTATCCTGACGACGACACCGTTATGTTGGAGAAGCGTATAAGTTACATAGCGGATCTTTATCTGAATACGCCAGATAAAGTGGTGAGCCTCGCTCAGTTTTCCTGTTGGGATATTCCTAGTAAACCCTGTTCCTTTCCAATCTCGGAAACGCATCTCCCCTTAGAACTGAGATCCAGTCAGTTTACTGATTTATAAATACATAATGCCACCGATCTTGCTGTCCAAAGCGACTCACGTTTAGTGGGACCGGCTGCCACACTAACAAATAGAGAATTCCAGTTAGAACTATTTGCTTTTATCCGACGAAATCCGTGAAAGATGGCAGTGGTAAATTCCCTGTATGAATTTGCGTGGAAAAGTGCTACTGTTTTCAGTTAGACTCTGCCCAGTAGTGTTCTCCTAGTCTGTGCAACATAACACCAAACATGTCACTAGAAGACAAAATCAGAAAACTGCATCTCACTTACTTTGGCCATGTCACCTCGGGGAATTCACTGGAGAAAGCAATTGTGTTGGAAAGAGTCAGAGGTAAAAAGACACTAAGCCGCCAAAGAACATGGTGGCTGGACACCATCAAAGCTGACACCAGCCAGAGCATAGAACAGTTCAAAGAAGTAGTGCAACATTGGAAGATGTGGAGAGACCCGGCCCACAGAATCGCCAAGAGTCGGACTCAACTGAATGGATAACATCGCCCTCAGTCTAAGCACAGGCCTGGAAATACAGACCTGGGATCAAAAGTTTTTCACCTGAAATGTCCCATTCCCTCATTACTTGGCATCCTGCATTCTCTCTCCCGCGTTCCTACTCAAGAATCCATTGCTATCGTGCCTAAAGCAGGATTTTAGAACAGAATAGAAAGAATTTGGGGGAGCTAAGGTAGAAAGCAGGTCCACCTAATCTGCACAGAAACAGTGGAAGCCAAGCTTGTCTAATACGGATTATTCGTACGTTTTATCTTTTTGTAGGGATTTGATACACCGCTGCACTTTGCTTGCAAGTTTGGGAATCCAGATGTGGTCGGCGTCCTTGCTTCCCATCCAGGCATTGTAAAGGATCCGAAAAATAAATACAATCAAACCCCAGCAGATGTAAGTTGAATTCAAAGCATGTCGTCATTGTCTTGATTTCACATTAAAAAAACACTTTATAACGGTGTTTCTCAGGCGTGGCAACTTTTAAGATATGTGGACTTCAATTCCCAGAATGCCTCAGCCAGCATAGCTTATAGCTTAGTGCCCCCCCCCCTTTGAAGTACAAAATACCGAGGCGATTTTAGCTTAACTAACACATCTTAACATCTTCTTGTCTGACAGGTGATCTGTGAAAGGAGCAAAAATAAAGCGGCGGATCTGAAAACAAAAATTAGGGAACATTTGGAAGGTTTGTATTTAATGTTGGCAGTAAATGGGGCTTTGTTATACCACTTCTGTTTGGGGGCAATTCCACAAGCAAATGGCATGTATCACTTTGGATAGAAGACAAAACCAAAAGAGTATTGTAATCGTAACCTTTACGATTCTGCTGAAGACCGTTGAGAGCCTGAAACCTTTCCAAGGACACCACAGCAGGTGCGGAGAGGAGGCAGACGGTTCCCATAACAAAGTGAAATTGTTTACCTGGAGTACGTGAGCGGTTGGGGGTTTGGTTGAAGAGATTATTGTTTAATTCTATGATCTCAGAGTTAGTTTTGCTTCGACATTACCATGCCGTGTATTTAATGAACATTTCCAGAAATGGAATGAACCTTAAGAGTTTTATTTAGATTCTCAAGATGGATGCTGTAGAATTTTTTTTCTGACTGATATCAAACCAGCCTTATTCAATCAAATAAGTGTTTCAAAAATCTTCCTGGGACTATGAAAGCGTTGATATCCCTTTCCATCCTTTCTGATCCAGGTCAGTGTTACGTGCCCCTCTTCAGAGCGGAAGATAACGCCACGGCACCTGTGATTGGAGCCCCCTGGTCCCCGGATCAAACCGAGAGCAGCCCGCTCCCGTCTTTGCCCAGATTCTTCGGCAGCCCCAAAGATCCTCTGCTGACAGTGAGGGCTTACGCCGGGCCACTGAGTCCTTCCAAGGTAAGGAGAGCAAAGAGGCTCTTTGCTGAAGCCCCTTCAGCCATTTTGAGGCTGTGAGATTGAGCGGCACGGCGGCCGAGCGGTGAAGCCGCTCGCCTCCCACTCAGAAGGTGGAGAATTCAATCCCAGGCAGCGGCAGATGTTTCTCAGGGCGCAAAGAAAAAAATATTGCTCTGAACTCTCTCCCATCCCTTCCCAACAGGCAGACGATTTCCGCAGGCTTTGGAAGACCCCACCTAGAGAGAGGGCGGAATATTTTTACCACCTCCGAAAGTCTGATTTGGAAAGAGGGGTCGAACGAGTTGGAAGGTATTTCAGACTCGGTGCCCGAAGCCACGTGGCAAAAGGCAGGAAAGGGTTTCGTTTCCAACCGTTAAAACTCTTTTAACAAGCATGACCATGCAATTATTATTACGCACGCGCAGTGCATCTATAGCAGGGGTCTCCCAACTTGGCTTGCCTGGCTGAGGAATTCTGGGAGTTGAAGTCCACAAGTCATCAAAGGGACAAATTGGAAGACCCCCTGATATATAGGGTGGATAGACCACTTATTTACATAGGTTAAACGTTGGAGATGGTTGCCATTTTTTAAAATGTTTTTTAAAATATTCTCTTTTGGAAGCAGTCTATTTTTTAAAAAATAATTATTATCATTCAGTGTCACATCCTTTCTGCATGAAGAGTATTTTGTATGCAGGAGATCTTTTATCAAAGTTATAGAGGAAAAGAAACATTTTTGGGGGTTAAAACAGCGCTACCTGCAATTACTGAAATAAGTTCCTTTGAGGGAGGGGAGTTGAAGGCCACCTATTTTAAAATTGTCAAGGTTAAGAAACACTAACTGAAATGTTGTTGTTCCTTCCTTGCCCAAGTACCCCTATTTAATTTTAGTTATCCTATCCTACTTAATGGTTGCCCTGGCTGGGAAGAAGAGACAACGGTGTCCGTCTGTTGTGTGGGTGTTTTGTGTGGGTGGGTGCATGCAAATATGTCAGCCTATACTTTCATAGCATCAAGGGAGAAGGTGCTGGGAATGTGAATTGGCTCATTGGGAAACTGGAACTGGCACAGGACTTTATTCCCAAGTTTTTACTTACCTGCATTACATTATTCTTTCATGGTGACTTTTCTGAAATTCTGCATCATCCTGTTTGTGGGTAAATACGGTTGTTGTTGTTTTCTTCCTTGATGTTCTATCGGAGCATAAAACAAGCTGGCATTTTAGCGTGTGAATGCGACAAACAAGAAAGCTGGGTTTGAGATGGCTTTTATATCAAAGTGCGGTCCTGAGGCTGATTGTTTTTTTAAAAAAATGTCTTACAGTGTATTTGTTGTCAACTGAATTTCATACCGTCACAAATGATTCGTTCTATCTTATTTGTTGCAGGGAGTTAGCTCATGAGCTGGGGTTCCCGTGGGTTGAATACTGGGAATTTCTGGGCTGTTTTCTTGATCTGTCTTCCCAGGAGGGGTTAGGACGGCTAGAAGACCACCTGAGTCAACAACAGGAAATGAGCAATAATGCTCAGCTAGAGAAAGGGAAAAACGAGGCCCACAACAGATTCACACCACAGTCTTATGGTAAGATTGAGGGCTGAAGAGGGACCTGGGTTGGGAGGCTTAATGGACGACCTAATCCCCAAAGCAATTTTAGCCAAACCTGCTAATGCTTTGAAAAGTCCAGTTGAGCGATTAACTAACACAGGGGTGTCAAACTGCCGGCCCGCGGGCCGGACGCGTCATCCCAAAACCGCGCCCACCCCATTGCCGGCAATGGAGAAAAAGCTCCGATACGTCGCGCGACGTCATGTGACGTCGCAAGTTTGACATGCCTAAACTAACATATTGCTTATGATAATATAGACATTATCATTCATTGTTTTTTAAATACATGGACCCAGACAACATGCTGTTTGCTAAATATAAGAATGTTATTTTAAAAAAATTCTACCCCTAACGCCATTTATAAATTAATTAATTAATATATATATGTGATTGAATACAAAAACGGGTGGGCAAGTGTGGCCCCTTTACGACCTGTGGACTTCGATTCCCAGAATTCAGTGCTGACTCAGGAATTCTGGGAGTTGAAGTTCACAAGTCGTAAAAGGGTCTATAGTTGCCCACCCCTGGTTAAAAGGCATTGGTGGTGTCTGCGTTACCTACTGAATTTTTATTCGATAAATCCCCGTCGTTTCATGAATCCAGAATTGCAAAACATAAATTCTTACGTTGCAATCGGACCTAGACTGTTTAAGATTAAATTTGGGGAATAGGACAGCTGGCATCTCTTGCTTTCTAGAACTTTCTCAACCTTGACGTCTTGAAGATGTGGGGACTTCACTTCCAGAAAGCCTGCATGATTGGCTGAGGAATTCTGGGAGTTGAAGTCCACACTTCCAAGTTGCCAGGATTGAGGAACGCTACTCTAGACATACTCTCTTTAAAATGAAGAGAACGGCGCCTGTCCTGTAGTCACAACCCACTGCAGGGAATGGATGGGAGAGATTTAAATTAAAATGTCAAATAGATTCAGAGGAAACTTCAGCTCAGGAATTCTGGGAGTTGAAGTCCACAAGTCATAAAAGGGCCAAGTTTGAAGACCCCTGGATCTATAGGGTGGATAAACCACTTATTACATAGGTTAAACGTTGGAGATGGTTGCCATTTTTAAACATGTTTTTTAAAAATATTCTCTTTTGGAAGCAGTCTATTTTTTTAAAATAGTTATTGTCCTTCAGTGTCACATCATACCTTTTCCTTCAGCTCTCTTTAAAGACAAGCACTAAGAAACAAGCCCTGTTGACGAGATCAGTGGGCTATAGTCAACCCAAAAGCCTAGAGTTCGGTCTGATGTCCACCCCGTTTTATTTTGTTTTTTGTTGTTGTTGTTGTTGTTTCAGGTAAAAGTAAAAACTGCAATTCTGTCTCTGTTGGAGCGTTTCTCGACGATGACGACATGAGTTTGGAAGAGGTAAAAAACAGGCAGAACGCGGCCAGAAACTACAGCCCCGTTATAGCACCCAACGAACCGACCATCGCTAGCTTTGAAAGCTCCAAGTGCGACATTCTCTCCATCGAGCACACGGGGACGATCCTGCCGAGGACAAAAGCCTCCCTCCGGGCGGCCGAAAAAGGAGACCCCCTGGGTAAAAACGGCTATTGCAGTCCGGCCGCTAGCGAGGATAGGACAGGAACCCACAGGAGGCACCCGAGCCAGGAAGGAAGCCTTCAGTCCCCCGTTGCCAATTTAATGGAGAAATTTGATCAGCTCTCTTGCCAGGATGAGGCCGTGGCGAGGGAATGCTCGGCGGGCAAGGCCAGCCAGAGGGCGGCCAAAACGTGGAAATGCCAGGAGCAGCTGGCTAAAATGGGTTCCCCCTTGTCGAAGACAGGGGCAGCTGCCAGGAAGAACAAAAGCAGAAAGGAAGACGGGGACCCCCAAGAGGCAGAGAGACCCTCGGCCGAAGCCGAGGTCAGATCTGGGGAGAGGAAGCCGCCGTTTGCTTTGGAATCGCCGCCCGAGATGTCCGTTCCTGGTTTACTGAAAACACCTCCCTCAAACGGGAAAAGCAAGCAGATGTTCCTTTTAGGGTATGGAAGGGGGTTCGGGGTCCAGAAATGTGTTTTTAGGACATTTTCTACAGCCAACTGCTAACTTGTAATGTTCTTTAGATACGGATAGTCCTCTAGTTACAATGGCACTGTGAAAAAAAATACTGGTCCTTACACAACAACCGTCACAGCAGCCCCATGATCACATGATCGAAATGCAGGGCATGTATTTATGCCAGTTTCCAGCATCCTGGGATCCTGGGATCATCATTTGTGGCCTTGCCAGCTGGCTTCTCACAAGCAACCTAGAATTAAGGAGAAACTTCCTGAGAGTGAGGACAATTAACCAGTGGGAAGGGCTTGCCTCCAGAAATCGTGGGCGCTCCATCACTGGAGATTTTTAAGAAGAGGCTAGACCAGAGGTAGGCAACCTTGGCTCTTTTTTGACTCGTGGACTTCAACTCTCAGAATTCCTGAGCCAGCATGGCTCAGCTTGGAAACCTCTCCCTTTCCCCTCAGCGTGGCTGGCTGAGGAATTCTGGGAGTTGAAGTCCACGAGTCATAAAAGAGCCAAGGTGGCCTACCCCTCGGCTAGACAGTCACTTGTCTGAGATGTGGTATAGGTTCTCTTGCTTGAGCAGGGGGCTGGACTAGAAGACCTCCAAGGTCCCTTCCAGCTTTATTCTATTCTAAACCAAAGAGGTTGGGGGGAAAACCAGATTCACTTAATGATGGTATGCTTGGTTTAACAACTGCAAAGTTTTGCTTGACGAAAAAGGTCATAAAATCAGGTGCGACTTAGTAACTGACTTGTTTAGCAACAGGCATTCTGGTCCCAGTTGTGGCTGTAAGTTGAGGACTACCTGGGCTGACACGACATGTACCTTTACTGCCGGTGAGAATAATAATGTAGTGATGGGACATCTGTTCCAGTAATACGGAAAAGGTGGGCTTGACCCATTCATGGTTCACTGTGGGCTCGAAACATCTGCGGTGTTTGCATGCATTATGATTCTTACATTTGGTTAGCTTCTTTAGGGGTTAGGGTATTATGGGAGCCCACTGACTTGGGTTAGTTTATGCTGTGCAAATCCTGAAACTGGGTTCGTTTAGTCCTCAAGCATCTTTGTGCAATTCCTTCAGTATTGTGGCCAAGTCAATACATGTGTGCAAAATTAAAAGCAAGAGATATAGCAATAGCACTTAAGCACTTAATAGCACTTAAGAAAGCTTCACATGGCTTTACAGCCTTCTCTAAGGGGTTTATAGAGTCAGCCTGTTGCCCCCAACAATCTGGGTCCTCATTTTACCAACCTTGGAAGGATGGAAAGGCTGAGACAACCTTGAGGTCAGGATAGACTCCTGGCCGTGGGCAGTGTGTTATCCTGAAATGCTGCATTCTAGCCACTGTGGAGGGAGGGAGGGGAAGGAAGGAAGAATAGCAATAGCCCTTAGACTTATAGACTGCTTCTCAGTGCTTTACAGCCCTCTCTAAGCGGTTTACAGAGTCAGCACATTGCCCACAACAATCTGAGTCCTCATTTTACTGACCTCGGAAGGATGGAAGGCTGAGTCAACCTTGAGCCGGTCAGGATCGAACTTCTGGCAATGTTTGTGTTCTCCTGCAGTACTGCCTTCTAGCCACTGCGCCACCATGGCTCTTCCGTTGGATTTTGTTCCAGGTGAAAGAGCTTGTACAGATCTGAGCCTGTTGGTGTTATTTATTCGCCCCAGGGTCATTAGAGATTAAAGTTGCTCAGCAAAAGCCCACATGGTGTTTTTTTTTGTTTTTTTTTTAAAAACACGCTGAAATATTTCTCGGAGATTAAGAGAATAAGCCTCTGCCTTTGGTGGCACTCAGCTGCCTAATCCAGCTCTTGTCTTCCTCTGCTTAGCGATCAACCGTCGAAATGGGACAATGACGTGTTAACGGCATTACTCGGAGTCGAGGTCGATCCCCAGAGGTACCCGGCTATTTACAAGTGGAGCGAATCCGTGCAGGCCTATCCCGTATCTGAACGGCGAAGGTACATCCCGTGAAGCCTGAATCAGTTCTCTGGGCAGGTGGAGGAGCACGTTATCTCCTTGGGTTGGCGTCACCTCCATTCTAAGGTGCAGGGGGAGAAAGCTACACCACCCAAGTGTTGTATGTGGTCCTTTCCCCCGCTCTTCCCCAGTAGTTAAAACTACTCAGGTGACTAATTTTATCTCCTTGAGAACCTGATTTGTGCAGTTGTGTAGCTAGAATTAACCACTCGTTGGGTCTTTGCCAACACTCATCTCTTCCTCTCTGAAAAACACATTTTGGAAAGGAGACAATCTCCAGATTCCATTTTAGGGGCAAAGGAAGAAGGGGTGTTAGTTGGGGCCAGTGTTTCTCAACCTTGGCCACTTCAAGATGGATGGAGTTCAACTACCCAGGGCTGGGGCATTCTGGGGAGTTGAAATCCATCCATCTTGGAAGTGGCCGAGGTTGAGAAACACTCTTTTAGGCAAAGACACCCGTGCTTGCATCTCTCTTTTTTTTATCTGTGGTCAAGGAACTCTTGATTTCTTCTTCCTATTGAGACCTGTACTTAAAGTTACAAATGATCTACGCTTTTCTGGCCATCTTTTTCTCTAACACTTCCCGTTACTCTGCCATTTATCCAGTTCTAATGAGATAACGCTGCCTTTTTCCGACAGGTGGTCCAGCCCTTCCCTGAAAGGACTCGCCAAGGCCCAAGCCACCCCCAGCCCTGCCAGGAATCTTCCATACTTCAGCCCAGGAAAGAACAGCCCCGGGAAGTATAACGCGGCTGCAGCGGCGGCCGGCTTCTCTCCGGATTTAGGGAGCCCGGGACGGTATACGCCAGCGTACGTAAACTACATCCTTCTGTCCAAGAGGCAACATTTCTCAGGACTGCCCAATCATTAGGGTGGGGTCAGCCACCCCGGCCGTGAAAACGTTGGAAGCGAAGGAAATTTGGGATGGTGGAAACCTTTTGACGGGATGGCTTTTGTGACCACTTTTTTTTTAATTATTTATTCTTGGAAGAGGGGGCTGCTGGAAAGGGGGGGGGGGAAAGCATTCCATTTACCTTACAAGTCAGAGTCTTGTAAGGTTAGGAAGTTAAACCTGAAAAAAGGCCTCTGAGTTGGGAAGCCTCAATCTCCAGGTCTAGGAATCCATGGATAGAAGTGGTGTTTTTTGGACCAGTCTTGAGATCCAGTCTGCCTGTATTTTTTCTCTTTTTCATACTCACTTTCAATCTCTGTCTTCTTCTATTTCTCTCTCTGTCTCTCTCCCAATCTTTTTTTTCTCTTACTTTCAATCTCTTTCCGTCTGTCTTTATTTCTCTCTCAATCTCTTTCTCTCACTCCGTCTCTCTTTCTCCCAGTCTCTCTTTCTCTCTCTTTCTCTTATATTGGGATCCTTGTGACCGTAACACCTGTAAAGAGAATTCAGCGATCACAACTCATCTTCCAGTCAGGCTGAGGCAGGAATAAGTCACTTTAATCCCAGGGGATATGAGCACAGGGTCCTGGTGTGCCGATCTGATTTAATTAGGATCGTTAAGCATAAGGGGTCACGCTGTGGCCTATGCAGAACCTTTAAGAGAAGCTAATGAAAGTTATAAAGAACACAAGTGAAACCTCCCCAAACACACACACCAATTGCCCTTTGTTTCTGGTTTGGGGGGGGGGAGGAGCAGACTTTGCAGCTTCCACAGAAAAGCTCACAAGCGGTAATAAAGCCGTTTTCCTTACACAGCTAAGTTTTATCATTGCATCTCATGGGATCGTATAGCATCGATATTACTCCGTGTTCAGTGAAACCGCTAGAACAGATTACAGCTATTTTGCTGTTACTTTAAATCCCACGCTGTTTAATGGCGGCTAATTTCTGAGTTTCCAGCATTTGAGAATAAACCTGCCCCAGTTATGCTTATTATTCACCGCAGGCCATTTTTTTTTATAGGATCTCTTCTTGTGCAATTGGAGATAGCCTGCACAGCAGGAAAGGGGGGGGGGGGAGACACAAAATGGGAGAAACTCTTAAATCATAGGGCTTGAAGAGATTGGTGATTGGGGGGGGGAGTTATTTACTGCACACTAACTTGAAATAATCACAACATCAGGAACTGCACCGGTCGTTTCCTTACCCATGTGTAACCAACATTTTTATATACTACCTGTTTGATGTTTTTTGGTACTAAAACTTCAGAACTACACTCAAGACTCTTCCAGTTTTATTAGTGCCTTTTGTAACTTTTATGTTTTGGTATTTCTGTCTTGCTTTTCAAGGGGTAGCGTTCCTTTATATATTAAAACACATTTTAACTTTCCACTTTTGCAGTTTTTATAGTTTAAAAGATTCCGGAGAAGTACTGTAACCATCTATTTATTTTATATTATGTGAGATAAATGTCCTATACGTAAAACAAGAATTACAAATTGACTTAAGGACCATTTGGAACAGAAAACCAGCTTTTGGGAGATGGGTCTCCCTTTGGTCACCCAGCTTTTTGCTATCGGCATCGTTCTCCAGAATGTATAAAACCTGTCCAGGTTTGTACTAACCGACATATCAAAGTTAACTTCTCATAAGCCCTAAAGACTAATGCAGTGTTTCTCAACCTTGACAATTTTAAGGCATGTGGACTTCAACTCCCAGAATTCCACAGCCAGCAATGCTGGCTGTGGAATTCTGGGAGTTGAAGTCCACATGCCTTAAAATGGTCAAGGTTGAGAAACACTGGACTAATGGGTGTTGGGGGGGGAGGGAGAGAAATGCGCCAGAATTCTGTAGTGCAATGTTGAGATAAAAAGGCAGTTTCTAAAAATCCTTTAGCGTAGCAGTTTCTGAAATTCAGCCTTTGTGCTTAAAAGTGCCCTCTGCGCGTTACACCTTGTCTACATAAATGGTACAAAGCCAGATAGGGCTATTGTAGACAGCTAGAGGTCTTGTGTAAAGCTTACTCCACAGTATAAAGGAAAGTATTCATTTCTGCTTAGCCACTGCAAATTATTAAAACCTGTAGGCGACTGACCAGTTTCCTTTGCTTTGTTAATACTTTTGTACTCAAAAAAAGGTGTTTCTGGAGCACAGCTATTCAGTTAATACTTTTTTTTTTGTTGAGATGTCTGAAGAAAAGTCAAAGAATTGCTCTTGAAAATATTGTCTAAAATGGACGTGTGTATTTTTTTTTCCCCGTCAATGTGTTAATGTGAATTTTAAACAAGCTTATTAAATTTTGTTTATTTAAAAACGTCTTTTCTCCATTAATTAGTGGTGGTTGGTAGAAGGGATTCTGAAGACAGCTGTACAGGCATGATCCCATTCGACTCAGCCACAAAGCTTAGATGCCGAAAAGGGATCAGGCAATTTAAAAAAAACTCCTTTGAAGTACAGCCTTTCAAATCTCCAAAGTGTGTAAGATGAGAAACGCAACGGATGACTAAGGCATCGTTAATGACATGCAGCTTACATGCTCCAAGCCTTTTTAGTATCTGGCCCAAGGCAGCAGCTGAAATAAACCGGGATACAATATTTCATAATGCCTCTTTATTTTCAATTCCACCTTCCCACCAACAAAACAAAATCGGATGACGCACTACGTTAAGTAGCAAAGACCCAGACAAATGTCACGCTTCTATTTTTTTTCCTTACGTGAAACTTGGTATTCAATCTCAGAATTGAAACCTTCACTTAAAAAAAACAACAAAAAACTAGGCACTCTCATTTTAAAGCAGTCTCGAGTGAAAATCAAACTCAAGTTTTTATTTTCGCAGGTAAAAGACAAATAGAAATAACTTACATGTACCCGCATGGATTGACACAGATCCACCGGTGTCTTTTCTCTGACCACAGAATAACCCCCAACACCCTAGCTACTCCCATTTCGGCAATCCCACAAGCGGCAAGATAACAAGATTCAGGAGAAGCACTGAATCTGTCCAGAAGTGGCAGTTGCTGGCCAAGGGTTCAGCTTCCCCCCATAAAAAGTATATTTTGCTCTAAGAAGTAAGTGTAGAAATGCTATGGCCCCATCGGAGCCCAGTTTGGAAAAGGAGGCGGCGTTGGAACCGGGACCATCCACTAGGGATGGCACATCTCCCTTGACATGTTTGGAGAGGCCAGGGGCCGAGGAGATGCTGGGGGTGGTGGTCTACCGGACAGAGAGCTGCCTGCCTTCATAGGCACGGGAGGATCGGCTGCTGACAGGCAGCAGATCCCCCTCTGATAAAGAATAGCTGCCTCCTCCACTGATCCAAGGGCACGGAGAGCAGAGCGGAGGCAAGCCCAGAGAAGGGCTGCAAGGCTACTCTATCTGGACTGGAGTGACTTAAGGAGAAGCCGTGGGGAGTTGGTCTTTGCCAAGAACCATTGTTTGTTTTGGCGTACACTCCTCCCAGGGGCTTGGACGATGGCCCTTCGGCTTTTTGTCTTGGACCTTGCCTTGTCTTGTGGACTGCGTTTGGCCTTTGCTTCGCCGGGCCTTTGGAACGGCTTCTGGTCTTGGGACTTTTTCGCCCCGAGGACTGCCCTGGTCTTGTGCCTGGACTCATGGACTGGACTTGGAACCCTGGACCTTGCTCCTACTCTGTGGGCTTTCTTGGTACCAGAGTGTGGAGACGGAGCCCTTGCCGGTCATTGGAACAGGCCCGCCTTGACCGCCTGGGTCACAACACGGAAGGACAATCTCTGCGTGCTAGAGGAACAGAGTAGATTATCCTAATTCGACGGTGCTTTAGTGGGAGCAAATGGATAAATGCTAACCTGTAACAATTATTAACGGTCGAGAAACCTAAGAAAGGCTCCTATTCAGGGTTTGTTTGTTTATTTTTAGGAATAGACACTTGTAGCAAAAAAAAAAAGTCTCAAATAAAAAAAAACTAACTAGACGGCTTGAAGTGAGAAGAGCGTAAACCATGGTTCGCTTTTATTCAGGCACTGCTTTGGGAGACAACTACAGATGCCGCTTCCGATTTTTTTTAATTATTATTATTATTAATAATAATAATAAAGTATATTTTCAGTGCCCGTCTGCAAATCGGAGCTGCATAATAAGAGAAGACGCTCTTACTTTCAAGATTTCGTCTCCCTCGTCTTCAGAATGGCTGGATCTGGTGGCTTCTGGGTTTACACCGATTTCAGTACCCAACGTGTATCTCTGGACGTTGCAGTTATTTCTCCCCCCCCCCAAATAGGAAAGAAAACAAACAAACCCTTGGGTAGGTGAGAGGCCGCCAGCGTTGTTGTTTTGAAGCCACGGAGGAGACGGGTCCTCTCCAACTCCCAACGGTTCAACATCGCACGCCATGAGCTGCTAGTGCAAAATCGTAACGTGTAAGAAATGGTCTGACACAGACAAAGCCCAGGGGAGGGAGCCTGCAGCTTTTCAGGGAAAGGGCTGGCCGCGTCTGGAAACAGCTCTGTCCTCTTGGTTGGAGATCCTCCCTGTTTACGTGAGCTTGAAAGAAGGACGGGCGAGAAAGAGGCATGAGTTAGTTAAGGACTAGTGCAGGGGTAAGGCCACCTTGGCTCTTTTATGACTCGTGGACTTCCAACTCCCAGAATTCCTGAGCCAGCATGGCTAAGCATGGAAACCTCTCCTTTTCCCCTCAGCGTGGCTGGCTCAGGAATTCTGGGAGTTGAAGTCCACCAGTCATAAAAGAGCCAAGGTTGCCTACCCCTGGACTAGTGGAACTTGGTGTCCTACACAACAATATTGTTCCAATATGACAGGTAGTCCTTAATGGCCACAACTGAGCCCAAAATTTATGGTGACAAGTGAGGCATCTGTTAAGTGAGTTTCACCCCATTTTAAGACCTTTTTTGCCACAGTTAAGTGAATCACTGCAAATAGTAATAGTATTAGTAGTAGTAATAATAAAGTTGGAAGGGACCTTGGAGGTCATCGAGTCCAACCCCCTGCTCAGGCAGGAGACCCTATACCATTTCAGACAAACGGCTGTCCTTTCCCTTCTTAAAAACTTCCAGTGTTGGAGCACCCACAGCTTCTGGAGGCAGGTTGTTCCACTGGTTAATTGTTCTGAGTGTCAGGAAGTTTCTCCTTAGTTCTAGGTTGCTTCTCCCTTTGATAAGTCAGTAACCCAGTTGGTTAAATAAATCTGGCTTCCTCACTGACTTTGCTTGTGAACTGGTCACAAAAGGGGATCACAGTCGTAAGTGTGATCCCGTTGCCAAGAGCCTGAATTTTGATCATGTGACCAAGGAGATGCCACAGAGGTCCTATCTGTGAAAAAACAGTCCTAAGTCCTATTTTCCAATGCCCTTGTAACTTTGAACTGTCACTAAACGAGCTGTTGCGATTCGAGGACTACCTGTAATATATTCCAATATGGTTGTGTGGGTTCAAGGCTGATGGGAAACGCCAAAGAAGGCTTACTCAGTTGCGGGTGATCTTCTCCGGCGGCATAAACCCCGTGTCGCCCAGCAGGCGAAGGGCCACTCTGCCATTGGGGCGGATCACCAGGTGGGTGATGCTGCCGTTGTTGAGGGATATCCGAAGCCAACCTTCCGGAGGAAATTGCAACGCTCTTCGAAAAAAACAATATATATTTTTTTTTTAAAAAAGGAAAACAACTGTGAATGTTTTGATAAAGCCTATGAGGTCAATTCTTTGCTCCCGGTGGCTGGTAAAACAAAAATAAATGCAACGCAATGCGTTTAACAGCAACACTGATGCCGACAAGGCAAGGCACTAGAATAGAAATTGACAACAAAGCCCACTCCCTTCTAGCACTGATGATGTTACCTAGTTGGGTCATGAAATGTCTCCAAGGAAACAAGCAAGTGCAGAGAGCACCGGGGAGCCCTCATTTAACGGCAAATCCACAAAACGAAACCGCAAGAGCGACAAATCTTTTAGGGAGACCTTCTCTTGTAAATTGTGTATTTAGTAAAATGAAGAGGAACGCTTACGTCAGTCACACATCCTATATTACATTACTCTCTGCCATCTGGATCCCATCACCAAATTGGTGTCCCCAAGGGCAATGAAAGACTTCCTAAACTTTTTTTTCCTGCATTTTACTCTTTGGAGCGACTGAACACTCGTGCATGTGGTGGAGGTGAACATAGGAGGAGGAAGGAATAGTAAGTATGTTTGAGTCATTTCTAAAATTAATAAAGGCCGGATAAAAATAAAATCAAGACAAGGGCGAGTTTGTGAGTTCACTGTTGTCAAAAGCTAATTGGCCTAGTATTTTTCAGAAATTCATTATGCTGGGATTAAATGAGAGCCGTGTGAAGGATCATAATTAACTTAGCAAGTTTTTATCCCCCAGGAGAGCTAAAAGAATCTTAGAGAGGGGGTTGTTGTTTTTTAGCAAGACTATAAATATGTCTACAGCCACTGTCCACCTTCTCTCTCTCCTCTTTGAGCCAAACTCCGAGAGATAATTGCTTTTAGAACCTTTTGGAACCGTCCCCCAGCTTAAAATAAACTTAGCAAATACTAAAGCAATCTTAAGTGAGTGTCATCTTAAGTAATTAAACACCTCGGCCTCAAAGTCCAACAATGTTGTGTCCATTGTCTGCACAGCTAGATATAAACATGGGTTAAGTAGAGAGGCAATTCTCATTAAAATTGGCACAGCTTTAAATTGAGTACAATTCCTGCAAATACAGTAGGTAAAAAGCTTTTAGCACATTTGAAATATCCTCTGGAGAGATAGTGGAGCAGTGATTCCAATCAGTCCGTTCATCCCTTTGTCTCTTCACTTGCAACCCTTCAGGTAGGGAACTACAACTCCCATTACCCACTCCCCCCCGGCCATTGACTGAAGCACCAGAGCTATCAACAAGGCCTTTTATTGGGGGAGGCTGTGAGGAAAATTACTGATGTTAATTCAGACGGGCTCCAAACACAGGAATTAATATATTCCCACCGCGGCTTCTCCCATCTAGTTTTTAAATATTGCATTTGTTTAAACGATTCTTTCAAATCCCGCTACTTAGAGAGTGAAAAGCAAAGCTCTGAGTTAATCCTGCAGACAACTGTTCCAATTACTGGGTATTCCTAAACTCCCAGCCATGTGCTAAAAGCATCCGATCCCCCCCGTCTAACGCATGGCGCGAGGTGCTAAACCCACTTAAGAGCCAAAGGATTTAGGAGCGTCGCCCGAGTTACCTGCAGACAATATAGCGAATCACGTTTGCGTGGCAGATGAAGATTTCGTAGCTGTCGTCCTCCTGCTTGATATCAGCTCTGTGAATGTAGTTTCGGAAGGCGGCCTCGATGCGAGCGCCATCTTCGTAATACTGCTAAAAGCAAAAAGTTTGGTGGTAGCGGCAGATAATTAAAGCCTGCGCAGATTTTTTTCCCCTCCCTCTTTTAATCGTCAGAATCAACGATCGGCTCTCCCCAACACATTAAAATCCAGAGGCCTCGATATTTAATATTCTTTGGATGGCTGGAATCAGCAGGAATTAAAAAGAACAGGCTGTATTAAGTCCTCGAAATCCAGTTTAAGATTCTGAGCCTTGCCCTTTTATCTAAATAGTGCTTCGGCTGTCCTAGAGCTCTCGCTTATATTACAGTATTCTGTAAAAGCTTTAAATGCCTACATCTATCAAATTACAGAAGAATAGACAAACTGCAAACACAGTAGAACAGTTTTGGATTTCCAAGTAATTTTATCAATGGCTGAACTTTTCTTTGATGCTCATGCATTATTCTCCTTTTGCCATTTGAACGAAAAACACCGGTTTTGCTTTAGCGTTGTCAGTTACCGTTTGTTTATTGTCACTAAACGAACGGCAAATGGAGCACTTTGCAAATCGACAACAAAATAGAGAGCAACCTGCTTATCAATCTGCATTTTTTTTTTTGCATTTTTCTCACGAGATTATGTGCATGCAGAGAGAAGCCAGCCTTAAACCCTAAAGTTACACCACAAAATGGACTAGAAGACCTTCAAGGTCCCTTCCAGCTCTATTCTATATATATATAAAAGAAAGCTCTACAATAAGATTCCTCTATTAAGCTTTTTAATCTGTAATTCTGCCCCCAAAACATAAGGTCTTTGAAATAAGGGCTCTGATAGCACGGGGTTGGACTAGAAGACCTCCAAGGCCCCTTCCAGCTTTGTCCTCCTATTCTAAAAGCTAAATGCTGGACTAGATTTTACCACAGCTTCAGGCTTCCAGTGAGAGCTGGGAGGGTTTGGTTCAATTGGGGCTCCTTCGCGCAGGAGGTCCGTGCTCAGCCTGGTCACCCCTGGGGAAGAGAGAAAAGAAGGTGTGGTGTGATTTATACACAGGCCAATGTACACAAGAGGATTTACAGGCCTTTTGGTCTTCGTATCTTTCCACGGACACCCACCCGCTTCCATAATAGATTTAGAACACAGATTTCCTAGAGATGTTTGCCGCCAGTGCTCTGACACAAGTCTTATTTTTGAAGTGAAAGAGGGCCATCACCAACCTTGGATAGATAGAAGTTAAATCTGTGCCAGCTTGTCAACTTTCTAAAATGCTCCATTCTTGCTTTGTAGCCTTCAAGGAAAGACTACCATAACTTCCAATCAATCAATCAATCGATCAATCCGTTTTTATTATAGTCACAGACTAGCATGGACTCCAAAATTCGTCCATCTTTTTTTTTTTTTTTTTTTCTTGTAAAATTTTTTTATTTTTTGTAAAATATACATCTTCCAATATACACAATACATTAACTTTAGCTTTCCCCCCATAATTCGTCCATCTTGTCACAGATCCTAAAGCCTGTTCCACGGCCTCTTTTCCTCCTATATTTTCAATATTAAAACCTTAACTCCCTATGAAACAGTGCTTTCAACCCTCCTAGATGCCTCCTTGCCGCAGGTTTTTGATTCTTTAAAAAATGGTTTGCAGTGTTTCTAGCACTGAAATGGACTTAGCTGCTTCCTGTATATTTTAATATTTTGTTTCCTTCTCCTGTTTGTCACCCCCAGGCATCTCTGCAGTTGGTATTATGTTTTCCTTTCAACCCAATTTTATCTTCCGGTAATCAGTCACAGTTTCTTCACAAATACTCCAGGAACAAGCAAAACCAAGACAACATTTCGATTTTCCAAGTCAATGTTGTTAACGAGTTGCAGTCGATGACACAATATTATCTCTTGTCTCTTAAATCAACAATTTAATCAGTGCCAATCTTAACTAAACGGACTACTGCTTCTTGTTTGCCTACCTATGAAAAGGCATCACGTGGTTCAAGATAATTTTGCATGATGCTCAGGGAATTGGCTTACGCCACTGCTGACTTGGGATTGCAAACTAGCCAAGATTAGAAGTAGGAACAAAAAAACAATATATGTGACTCAGGCATTATGTCCCAGAATGTTATCTTTCTCTGATACACACAAAGCATCTGTGTTGCAACTGGAAAAAGAGGCAAAAGGTCAGAATTTAATCTGACACAATGCATTCCAGAAGCTTGAGGAAATGTTAACGAACATAAAAGAATGAATATTGTAATATTTTTCTTTAAAGAACCTCTTAAGATCCCTGCTGGCTACAGACTTTGAATTGAACCCTTCGGATATAACAGCTCAAAGTACAAGCAAGTCAGACAGCTGGTCCTGCGGGCACGTGGTAAAACTACACAAATGTTGCTTACCACAAACTCTGTTCCAAGAAGACACTCACCAGGAAGATGTTTGCTAATAATGTTGGTTGTTTCCGTTGCTCTGGCCATTGAAGAATAGACAATTTTATCAAATTTCAGCCCCAGACTTGCGAGTCTCATTCCGGTCAGCTCAGCTTGCTCACGGCCTAAAAGGTACACTTATGTATAAATTCCTAATAAGGCACAGAGGTTGTTTTTTTTTGTTTCAGCACTGTTTTAAAATCAGAACTTGTTCCTTTTCCCACCATTCCTGTTTGCATTCTTCATGCATTCAGACAGAAATCTGCAAGTTGGTAAGCAATGAAAGCAGAACAGTTTTCTGAATAAGGTGGGTACTGAGGCCTTTGCCATTGGCTTGAAAAGAGATACCAGTTAATGGGTTAAGTACGGTTAAAAGAAGCAGAAGTCATTTAACTGAACGGTGATGAAGCAAATCAGTACAAATATATATATATATATCTACATTTAAGAAAGAATGTAAGGCTCTCCATCAATTACAGTTGTGGCCAAAATTGTGGAAACCTTTTGGGAAAAGCGTACAGTAGAATCTTTGGTTAAGATTCCACCCATTTTTCTTCTAATTTCTTTATAACTGTAGCCTTGCGCACTGAATAATACTATTTTACATCGCTTTCTGGGCGACCAGTCAACTCTTTGCACCGTTACTTTAATTTCATTACGTTTTACAAGCTCACTACATGAAAGAACACAAAAAAACCCCCAACCAACTTGATAGCTATCACATAACACACTGACAAATGTCCTCCTCTCAGCTTCAATACATGACATCGATAACTGAATCCTACTGTGATCTGATTGGCTCATGGTCAAAACAAGATGACACCTGATTAGCTCTCTAAACACTCACGCTCATTGGCTACCATCAGATGAAGGAAAGCTACCTGAGATCAACCTGAGCAAGTTGTGCTTCCTTTTTCTGGTTATTTGGCTATACCTTTTCATAGAATACAGTAGGGATAATTGAACAAACTATTTTGCATTACATTCGTGATTAAATTATCTTTCCATTGATACATAATTTTATGGTACCACTCCCCCCAAAAAAGTGGTGTTATTAGCCACCAAACCTCAAAAATACACTTTTCCCAAAAGGTTTCCACAATTTTGGCCACAACTGTATGCACCAAGCAAGCAGCCCCCCAGCAACCATAAATTGAATCTCCACCCACAAGCCCATGTACTTACCCAGCTTCGTTAAGATTCTGTCCTTATCCTGTTGCCCATCCAGATTGTACTGAGAATGGCGTATGAGGAATATATGCCGGGTAGCTTTTGTTTTATAGTGGGCTAAGCGAGAAGACGCCTCCTGTTCACCGGTCTCTTCGTTTTTCTTCTTCAGGTTCATGAGAGCCAAAGGTTCTCTCCTAAAAGCAGAAAATTCTTGCACTGAACACAGCAGACGCGCAAAGCAATGAGCTCAGCTCCAGTGGTGCACCTTTTTTTGAGAAAGCCAGCCTTAGACTTAGCAATTCAGACTGCCTTCGTGCCGTTTTTCACAGAGGTGCTTTTCTCTAAAAGACAGAAGAGCAATGGGGCCAGTAGAAGCTACAAGCAAGTCCTCATCTTGCAACAGTTCGTTCAGTGACCGTTAGCTGATAAACAAAGCGGTTCCATATATTCCAAAAGAGGATGAAACAACCGAAGTTTTGGGGAATTGTAAAGTCTGCTTAATTCATCCCCTCACTTACAATTACTAACAGAGACACTAAGACAGCAATTTACCTGCAATTTTTTATGCTACATGCTCGGCCAGTTTGTAGTTCAAGGCCAGGGGTCTTCAAACTTGGCCCTTTTATGACTTGTGGACTTCAACTCCCAGAATTCCTCAGCCAGGCACGCTGGCTGAGGAATTCTGGGAGTTGAAGTCCACAAGTCATAAAAGGGCCAGGTTTGAAGACACCTGCCTAGGCATTTCAACTCATTTCCTATCACTGGATTATTTTTGTTCCCCATTTAAGAGCAGACCCAGTTTTGGCGTTTCCTTCCTGCTTCTAGCCTTAATGATTTATTAAGCACAGCAGAAAAATAAAGGAGAGTCAGAGCGAGGCCTGGAGAGCTGCCAAAACAAAATGCATTCAGAAAAGGAGAGATATAAGCGGAAGCTCAAAGCTTGCTCATCACTTTGATGCGATGGGTGTTTATGGTCTTAATGCACTCTCAAGCAAGCGGATATTGTTTCACTTTCACAACAGTGGCCATTACGTTGAAAAATGATACACATCTGAATGTAAATGTTAACATTGAATCAATGGCAAGGTAAACAGACGGGCTAGTTATTAATATCAGCTTATGCCTTTCTGATTTGCAGAAGCAGTATTTTTTTTATGGAAATCTATCGATTCCTACTTTTAAAAAGAAAATTGGAACTGGTTTTTTTTTCAAAAAAGAAATGTGTAAATAGAAATACAAATATAAAGAAAGTGATACCACTGATTTAAAGGGAACCCCACTGGATTAAGTCAGGTCTTTTGCAAAGAGATTTAGGCTCTAGTCCTATTAACTAACTATGGTTAGTCACAGTAACATAGGATATAGAGTCATATCAACTAACTGTTTAGAAAAGCAGCTAGGGACACGAACAACATACAAGCAATGTCATCCATAAAAGAATTACTTGCCCTTAGCTAAACAAAACTGCCTGAGATGCTAAAAGTTCTACAAATCTGAAACCACAAATGAGTGCTCAGACATTCAAAATAAGCCTTTTTGCATGTTACAACAAGCCAAGGAACCCTGGCTTGGATTCAAGTAATTATTTATACAAGTTCTCTCTCTTTCCTATAGCAAAATCATTGTTGGACCTAAGCAGTTAGAAAGCATGCACGGGCGAGTTTAGTCCTTCCCAAAAACATTCTGATTTAGTTTATCGTTATGTATGAACCCGACCCAGTGTAGCCAAGCTGCAAAACTAAACGGACTCCGCATAAGCCGATTATGGGGGTTTTGCTTACCCGTACCTATACTGAGACCAGCAGTTCCAACCCATTATGAAATTAAATGTTAGGCAGGCTTTCGTTCAGATTTAGTGTTATTAATCTGGAAGGGATCAGGCAGAAATTAATGCTTAATTCTCTTTACTAAGAGAATTAGTAACTGCAGTATTCCGAAAAGCATAGGTATTATTTCATTTATAGCAGAAAAACAGAAGGCATTAGGCAATTACTCTGATGTCTGAAATTCCCAATAACTATGAAGTGGCTGTGTGTGTGTGTGTGTGTGTGTGTGTGTGTAAATATAATATGAACTGCCATAGATTATATATTTTCAAAGGTTCTCCTGAAGTGGTAAGGCTTAAAGCAATTGTTCAAAATCTGTTCAGTAGAAAGGCATTGCATGCTTAAGGATTGGTAACACTTGATATTTTTTTTACATGGATGATATGATTGCTGGATCTGTAATTTTGGTGTAAACCACCCTAAAATTTAAGACTCTGGTTCCAGTTCCTATGATATTAGAAGAACGCTAGCCAACAATTTTAACCTCCACTCAAGCATGGCTGTGCTCTGCAAAAAAAAAAAAAAAAGTCAACAAATCGGGGACGAAGTGACATCCACTAAACTTTATTCACTCTGTTTATCTTCAGCAACTCGTGCTGTGCTCATCCTTAAGACAAACAGCAGGACGTGGCAAGAGAAGCATTAGTTACTGACATTTTTGAATGTACATTCAGCCACCTTATTCAGGACCCCTCTGCAGAGTCTTCTTTTATCCCAGAGCACCAATTGAACAGACATTCACTTACAGGATTAGCACCCAGAACATCTGTTATGAGAAAGTATTTCTAATTGGGCAGGAAAGTTGCCCAAGTAGAGGGTTCAGCTTAAAAAGCTCTCAAAGACAAGCAGGGAAGCGAAGGAGAGGCTTTCTTAATCATTCAGGCTGTTTGGAATCTACCCTGCATCTTTGCCTTCTGGATGTTTGGGCTAGAACTCAGGTCTGCCCATTGCAGAGAGCAGGAAAGCACAGCAAGTCAGAATGGCAAGCCCAGGGTATGATTATGAGTCCTGACAACTTGCTTTACGTTGTCCAGCAGAAAGGTTGGTGTTTCTCAACGTTGGAAACTTTAAGAAGGCTGGACTTCGATTCCCAGAATCCCCCAGCCAGCATGCATCCACTTCAATTCCCCAAAATTCCCCCAAAACCGGCATTTTGAGAACACTCAAACTTCTCTTAAGGTGGCTGGAGAAACAACAGTGCAGGGGGCATTTCTACCTGAACAGGGACTGGCAGCCCTGCCCTGCCCACTCCCTCCAACAAGCCTGCCAGGGAGGCCAACTGAACATTGGACCGCAAGCACCCCAGATCCAGAACCTGGATTAGGGGAAAACCATTCAACATAGAACATCGATCCTCCTCCTCTTCCTCCCTCCTCCCCATCTTTCCTTTCTCCTCTCTCCTCCTCCTGCATCCTTCATTCCCTTCCTCCTCTCTCCTGCTCTTCCTCCTCCCACTCTCCTCTTCCTCCTCCTTCCTTCCTCCCTCCTCCTTCCTCCTCTCCTGCTCTTCCTCCTCCCCCTCCTCTTCCTCCTCCTTCCTCCCTCCTTTCTTCTCCTCCTCCTCCTTCCTTCCTCCTCCTCTCCTGCTCTTCCTCCCCCTCCTCTTCCTCCTCCTTCCTTCCTCCCTCCTTCCTTCTCCTCCTCCTCTCTCCTGCTCTTCCTTCTCCCCCTCCTCCCTCTCCTCTTCCTCCTCCTCCTTCCTTCCTCCTCCTCTCCTGCTCTTCCTCCTCCTTCCTCCCTCCCTCCTTCCTTCTCCTGCTCTTCCTCCTCCTCCTTCCTTCCTCCTCTCCTGCTCTTCCTCCCCCTCCTCTTCCTCCTCCTTCCTTCCTCCCTCCCTCCTCCTCTCTCCTGCTCTTCCTTCTCCCCCTCCTCCCTCTCCTCTTCCTCCTCCTCCTCCTTCCTTCCTCCTCAGCAAATGAGCAGAACTCCTAACACTTCAACCCCCGGAGGGCACCAGTGGCCCACCCCGTCTCCCACCTTCCCTGGGGCAGAAGAACAGAAATACAGAGCTGGAAGGGACCTGGGAGGTCTTCCAGTCCAGCCCCCTGGCTCAGGCAGGAGACCCTGTATACCAAAGTGGGGCCAGGCTTGAGGGGGTCCCAAGGGAAGTGGGGGGATCCGAGTGTCTGTGGGGGGAGGGGGTCCTGGGGGGATGAGTCTTGGGGGGGGAGTTCTGGGCGAGGGGGGCTGCTCACCGGTCCCAGTTGTTGTCCCAGAAGCCGCAGCCGTTGGCCTTCTCCAGCCAGGCGGGGGCGGCCGAGGCGGCGGTCGGCGACGGCAGCAGCAGCAGCCCCGGCGGCGGCGGTAGCGAGGCTGCGAGGGGCTCCGGGGCGTCCCCGCCGGCCTTCTCCGCCCTCTGCGGAGGCGGCGGCTGCTTCCCGAGCGCCACGGCGGAGAAGAGGACCGAGCCGCCCGCCAAGCCGCAGGCCGCGGCCGCCGAGACGGTGAAGAGCCGCCGGAACGCCATGGCGGCGGGCTGCCTGAGGGGAATCGCTTCCCGCCGCGGACGGGGCGCGGCGCGGGACAAAATGCCTCGATGGGCGCGCGGGATGGGCGGGGCCGGGGCGGCGAGGGGAGCCCACCATTGGGCGGCCTAAGGGAAGGGGGCAGGAGGAGGCGGGGACTGGCCGGTGGGCGGGGCCGAAGGAACCCCGAAGGGACGAGGCGGCTTCGAAAAGTATCTGCGGAGCCGAGGGGGCGGAGCCTCCTTGGAAGGAGAAGATCCCTCCGCCAAAGACTCGGTGAGCCGTCCCGCAATTCCTCCGCCTTAAAGGAGAAGGGACTATTTTTGAACGGGAGAAGCAGCTTCGCTTCCTCGAGTGTGATGGATTCCTGCACCCATCATCCACAGTCAAGGCCGGATAGGGAATGATGGGAGAGCGGTAGCCTAAGCCGGGAGGCACCACTTTGCTCCGTGGGTCATAAAAACTGCAAGAAGGCTCCCTTCCCACCCTAATGCGTTGGCCTTCCCCTTCCATGGTGCCTTGCCATGGGCCAGGCTGATGGGAGCTGTAGTCCTTTCTGTTTCTCTAAGGCTGTTTTCTCTTATGCCGGCGTTTCTCAATCTCAGCAACTTGAAGAGGGGGGGATTTCAACTCCCAGAATTCCCTAGCCGACATGGAGAATTCTGGGAATTGAAGTCCATGGATTATGTCTGGGGAATTCTGGGAGTTGAAGTCCACCCCTCTTAAAAGTTGCTGAGATTGAAAAACAGTGGCATAAACTCCCCTAATCCTTGGAATGAATGGAGAGAAGCAGGTTTTTTTTGGGGGGGGGGCAGCCCATCCAGAGAAGCATTAAATATTAGAATAATATTTAATTAATTGTGAATTGCTCCAGCAAAGTGGAGATCTGATTTCTAGTCTTCCCAAATGGTGTGGTTTTATATCTGCACAACCAAAATGTGGCCTGGATGCTGACAAGAGAACCTTCCAAATGTAATTTGATTTGAGCTTTTTTTGCAGCTGGTTTCCATCCAAACTGTCAAAAATCCACAATGACTTGACTGGCAGCAATGCTGATATTTTGGTACAAATGACAGGCAGTTCTGCCTTGCAGCAGCAGGCAGTGTAAGATTGGATTTAAAATAGAAACATTTAGCTGAGAGAGATAATTGTGTAAGAGCACCAATTTATGACATTCCTGTCCAAATATTTTCTTTTACACAATTAACTGGCACTGAGCAACCGAGACCATATTGTGTTTAGTTCACATTCTTCGGAGGGATTTCCTAACTTTCCATATTGTTCGGGGAAAGAAGTCCAGAAATTTAAGGCAACTGGAGATTTTATGAATGATTAAGTGTATTTTGTACCGTCCGTTGTGAGCACTTCGCAACAATTTTTTTCCACGTTTTTGCTCTCCATAAAAAAGTAGATCTAACCCTAAATTGGCAACGTCTTCAGAGATCCTTCTTTCAATCAAGTTCATTTTCATTTATGTTGAAATGGAAAATAGGATGATTATTCTCCAGTTATGTTTGATGGTTTTCCCATTCCATCTTCTTAATTTTTTCAGATCTTTAGGGACTGAGTCAAGATTTAGCTGAGGCTCAGTGAAAGTCTAGATCTTCTCCAAACTGAGATGGAGACTGGACTATCCCTGCTAAAATAACCCCATATATACTAGGCAGTACTATATGTACAATCAGATTGTCATAGCGCAAATGCCCTGGGCTCCTCTGGGGAAAATGAAATGGTAGCACATGCTCTTTTAAAGTGTAAATATTATGACCGAGCTGCATTCTCCATTAATTCAGTTCCTAATTACTTGGCAGTTCCAATCAATGTTATTTAGAAGCTTTTTTTAATGATACCCTTTTAATTGCTAAATGTTATATTTTGCCATAAGGCTACATTAGCCTTGCCAAGAGAAATATACCAAGTAATCCATTGTTAAGACTAATTCTCTTATATTTTGGGACTGTAATTGGCTGTTACAATCTCTGAATTGGTCTTGGAGTGTTCTATCTATCTATCTATCTATCTATCTATCTATCTATCTATCTATCTATCTATCTATCATCTATCATCTATCTATCTATCTCTATCATTTATATCTATCTTTCTCAATCTTTCTCATCTACCATTTATGTTTCTCATCAAAATATCATCTACCTACCTATCCTCTATCTATCTATCATCATCTATCTATCTATCTATCTATCTATCTATCTATCTATCTATCTATCTATCTATCTATCTATCTATCTCAATCACTTTCTCTCATCTACCATTTGTTTCTCATGTGTCTGTCTGTCTGTCTGTCTGTCTGTCTGTCTGTCTATCTATCTATCTATCTATCTATCTATCTATCCCTTCCTTACCTAGCCCCCAACTAATGATATTCTATACTTTTTTTAGTTTTCTTGTGTCTTTGATGCCCTTGTGGGGTTTTCAAGCATTCTACAGTATCAAAGTTCATGTGTTTTGTTTCATTTTCAGCACATCAAAATCCCACCACTTTATTCAAATTAAAAGGATCTTAACCATTTTTAAGAATCCAATGGGCAAGACGTTAAGGTGGATATCCATGAGCCACTGAGGACGCTAGATGTCTACATGAGTTATACAGAGGGCTGATTCAGCATCAGTCCATTGGTTTCTTCTGTCTAAGGACAACTGCCCACAACAAACCCTTCCTTCGTTCTCTTAAATGGGTTGAAATGAGAAGGATTGACAAGTTGGGTCATTCTAGGATACTAAATAAATCTGAATCGCTCCAGATTTGGACAGCTAGTTGTAGTGATGATGATGGTACATCCTTTTTTCCCAATATTTCAGAATTTCCCAATTCCCTGGGCATTCAAAACTGAACACACACACACACACTGTCTCCCCCCCACCCAGCAACGGTGAGATTCAGCAGCAAAAGAAGGAAACGTATAAAGGAAGCCACCTTGAAAGCCGGATTGAAAAATATATACATATGTATTGAGACTAAAGCGACAGAGATGAGAATTACAGACACAAGTTTCACGAAGCCTGCACAGATTACATTCCAAAGTTTTGAGATAAGGAGAACAGGTGAATACAGACTGTTAGGAGGTCTCTCCATCAACAAGGTCCTTGAACCGTGGTTTTAATAGCAACATCGCCCTTTCAGTCTTTAGGTTCTTTCTGTCCCTAATCCCAGGCTTGGGCCGTGCAGAGGCAGTCCACAACGTTGTGGCCCCTGTTCAGCTTTTGTCTGCAAGACTGTGATCCTCAACCGAGAGGGTCTTGCTTATAAGACCCCTCTCCCCCATTGTACAAATACGATGAGCAAATATTTACAAAACCTTGGGTACGCTTTTCTTATTTCTTTTTTCGTTTCTAGCACACCCACCTGGCTGCATATCAGGTTTTCAACATTAAAGCATACTTCTGCATAGTTTTGTCTGTGTGTTTGTTGCGTCTGTGTGTGTGTGTGTGTGTTTAAACACTGGAGGATATCTGCTCAGGGAACAACAAAAAAGATGACTTAGGAATTTGATAGCTCTGAAAAGATTTGCTGAACTTTACCAGCTGTTCCCACAAAGTATATATATGTATATATATATACATCCCCAAGAAATCCTCTGTGATCTATCCCTGTCGACTTCACAAGCCCTTTGTCTTTGATGCTTGATGTGTGTGTTTTTTTAACTGCACAGGGTAAAGTCTATTATTAAACCCAAGCAGAAATACAGCAGCATCTGGTTTTCTCCACTCTGCCCTCTGTTGCTTATTTCAAAGAAGTAAAATATTAAGGCTTCAAGTTAAGAGGGGGGAAAAAAAGGAAGAGGGAAAAAAAATCCTGAACCAAAACCACACACACACACACACACACACACACACACACAAGGATTGCAAACGGGTAAACCTGCAGTTTGATCAAAATAAAACAAGCAGACAAGTTAAAAGAAAGTAAATGTGGTTGAAGGATAAAGAAGTGGTCCTCCATTTTTCTAAAGCGAGCACGTCCCTGCAGTTCACAGCTTCAAGGTGAACCACGTTTGGGTGAGAAAGCTTTCAAGAGTTCAAGTTGAACTGTGTTGTCCCTCTGGGAAAACAACACAGAAATCTATGGCCATTGTCTTCTTTTGAGATATGGAGTCTGTGGTCTTGTCTACACACCAGACATTTCCTGCTGAGAACTAACAAGGCCCGGGTCTACTGTGGCGGAAGGTAGTCTGGATTCCCAGCAGGGAGGGGCCACATTCCAGAGAACTAAGAGACAGTGAAGTTTAGATAGTTTGATTGAGGAGAAGAGAGTTAAGATAATTTCTCCCCAGCAAAGTGTATCTACAACGATGCAAGTAGCTTCAGTCTATAGGTGAGGAACAGAAAAGAAACTGCTCAGAAGTAATTCCATACGTCTTTCTTGGTTCTTGGGACCTCTTTTCAAAAACTATCCAACATCAGCTCCATCCTGTCACTGGCAGTAACCATGAATATAAACCTTTGGGTTTATAGTCCAACACAAGAATTGCGATATCTCGAGTGAAAGAAATGTTGGTCAATCGCATCATTCAAAACACCAAACTAAACTTTGGATAAAAAATCTCTAACCTATATGGTGAGCAGAGCAACTTGTCGATCTGTATAAAAAAAAAAAAAAAGTCAGAGGGCTGGATGGACCTAAAATCCTTCATATTTTGGCAGATTCTCCCAACCCAGCTGCAAACACAAAATCTGAGCTAACATCTACAAGTGCTTTCTTCCTAGTCACCCACATGGGCTGGATATAAGCCCTAAAGGGAAGACATCTGTTGTTTCCAGGGTCTGCTAATTGGTCGGTGCCAACTACTTCAAAGATCTGAATAATTTACTACCATCTCAAGGCCATTTTGTCTATTTTAAATGCAGACTTCAAAGAAAAAGCGAAGAAGAAAAGCACAGCTCTCATAACACTATTAATGCAAGAGGTATCTTCTCCCCGCCCTCTCTACAATTTCCCTGAAATCTGTTTTAATCGCCTTGGAATGCCATCCCTGGAGTGGTGAGGTTATGACTTTGTTGGTTGTTTTTAATTGGGGAATTTGCAATGCGTGTTGGTTGGTTTTTACTCCACAGTAATTACAGATAGTCCTTGACGTATCACCACAACTGAGCCCAAAACTTTTGTTGTTAAATGAGACAGTTGTTAAGCAACTTTTACCCCATTTTACGACCTGCCTTTCAGCTGTTAAGTTAGCAACATGGGTGGTTATGTAAATCTGGCTTCTCCATTGATTTTGTTTACTAGAAGGTTACAAAAGCTGATCACATTGATCCCGGGACCGTCATAAATACGAGTCAGTTGCCAAGCATCTGAATTTTGATCACGTGACCATGGGGGTGCTGTAACGATTGTAAGTGTGAAAAAATGGTCATAAGTCATAAATGGTCATAAGTTTTTTTCAGAGCGGTTTTAACTTCAGACAGTCACTAAACAAACTGTTGTTAAGTCGAGGGCTGGCTGTATACACGTTTGAGGATGAAATGCAAAATAATCTATGCTAGAGAGTCAAAGCTGGTCAGGATCTATCGGAGAAAAACTTACTAGTTTTGTTTTCCTTGGCGTGGAGAAAAGAGACGTAATTCCCTCATCTGCTTCTCTTTCCAGAACAAACCGCAACTTGTGTCCAAGTGATTGTAACTACCACATTTGCACTAAGGGATCCGTTCCTTCCCTGCCCTCCTAGCTCTTCCATGCCACACACAAACACACACACACACACACACTCGCCAAATTTGGCAAAAAAAAAAAGGAAAGGGCAAAAAACAAACACAACCCCACAACGTTTTTTAACACCGTGATCTTTTGCAGCATTCAGCCTTAAGAGGCAGTCACCCAACTTTATAGATATATATAAAAAAGAATTATTTAAGGCCATTATGCTAAGTATCGGCATTCTAAATATGCGACTTCTATTTTCTGCTTGTTTCTTAACTGAAATATGAGATCGATTTACACCGAAGGGAAGAGGCAGGATGTGGAAGGGAAGACTTCCTAATTTTTGAGGAGAAATATTTAGAATTCTTGTAAACAATTTTACCGGAGCACTTTTCTTTAACAGATTCTCTTTCGGATCAACTCTTAAAAGTCTAGCGATCGGCGGTCTGGCTGTCTCCCTGGATATTGAGTTTGCCCATCTTCCAGCAGGCCACAAACGTGTCTCCTGCGGACGTGCGTTCAGCTGACCAACACACACAATCACACATGCGCACGCATACACACATGGACACACATCGCGAAATTCAACAGCTCAAAAAATACCTTGCGTCGAGAGTATACACACACGCTGCACCAGTGCAAGACAAAGTAACACCATTTCACAGCCCTCAGGAACAGGAGAGTCGGAAGGAGTATGGCTGTTTGAAAAATCATAAGTTACCTTCTCAATATTTTGTGTTTTTTTTTCCTTCAAAAGCAGGACAGGATTATTGGTGGTGCTTCAAAACCCATCTAGAATTGTCCAAGGGGGGGGGAATGGAAGTCCCTTATTTGTGCAACAGTTCTATGGCATGATGGGAGAACTCTTCATGGGCGCATTATAGTTTTCAGATGCTTCAGCAGATGGTAAGAAGATGGCTAGCAAATCGCCCCATTTCTTGACCCAAAGGAGGGTGTCTAAAAGACTGGACAAGACTCAGAGGTCTAGTGGTGTCCATCAATCTTCTTTTGCTAGGTTAGGGTTCTTTTCAGTGCATGGTTATGCCCAGTTTCCATATGCGCGTGAATTTCCCCACTCATCCTCACAGGAGGAAGATGTATGTCTGACCCAAAGCATGGTTGCACAAACCTGTTTCTCTTCTGCCATCCCTGAAATGAATTAAGAAGACCACCACAGAGAAGGAAACGGTTAAGGACCCAGAAGACTACAAATTAGATAGCACTTGATTGCCTCAAATGCAGCTCTTCCGAGTTTTGTATAGATCACGGATGGGCTGGAAAAAGAAAAACAGAAACTTGTTGGGTTCCATCATTTGTTCCTCATGAGTTCCATCACTTCTTCCTCATGAGTTCCATCACTTCTTCCTCATGAGTTCCATCACTTCTTCCTCACGAGTTCCATCACTTCTTCCTCATGAGTTCCATCACTTCTTCCTCATGAGTTCCATCACTTCTTCCTCACGAGTTCCATCACTTCTTCCTCATGAGTTCCATCACTTCTTCCTCAGGAGTTCCACCACTTCTTCCTCATGAGTTCCATCACTTCTTCCTCATGAGTTCCATCACTTCTTCCTCATGAGTTCCATCACTTCTTCTTCACGAGTTCCATCACTTCTTCCTCATGAGTTCCATCATTTCTTCCTCATGAGTTCCATCACTTCTTCCTCATGAGTTCCATCACTTCTTCTTCATGAGTTCCACCACTTCTTCCTCACGAGTTGCCGTCACTTCTTCATCTTGGCCTTCAACCAGCCTGGAGACTTGAAGCAGGGGTGGAAGAGAAAGCAACAAGGCCTCAGGACAAGGATGGGATGGACAAAGACAAATGCACAATGGTTTTTACCGTTGTTTGACACAGCCGGCGTTGTCAGTTGTGGACGGGTCAGTTTGTCCAGGAAGTACCCAATGAGCTGTGCCGAGGGCATCATCCTTTGAAGAATAAGACCACAGCTGGCCTTAGCCGGCAAAGGGGGACCTGTGTGTGCCTTTTAAGAATGGTTGAAAAAAAATAATAATACGTCCAGCCATGAAGTCATGTACAGGGCAGGCACCACCAGTTGGTTTCCTCCTTCTGTTCCTGTTGGATCTTCACAGTGTAAGTAGCTCCACAGATGAATTTGCAGGGATTTCTCCTTTTCCCATACTCCTACTCATCGTCTTCTTCTTTTTGTTTACACTGAAATCTCATAGGTTGTTCCGCCCACCCCAGAGACTTTCTTAACGTTTGAGTGTCTCGCTGGACTCAAGGGAGGACCTTGGGCACTAGGCGTGGAGCCGATTCGACCCTCAGCTCTGGAAAGACCCTTCGGCTGTCCATTGATTTTACTGTGAGGGGTCTTCAGCGGGATGTCCTCTCTGTGGCCAGGAGAAAGAGAAGGTCAAAAGTTAGGAGACAGAAGAATAACAAGGAATCTTATATCGGCAGTTCTCGACTTGCAACCCCAATGGAAAATGGAATTTCCATTAAGTGGATCACACCCAGTTTTATGACCCCTTTTTTCCGCTTTGGTCGTTCAGCAAATCACTGGCAGTTGTTAACAACATGGTTGTTAAGCTAATCGGGCCTCCTCTGCTGATTTTGCCCGTCGGGAGCCAGCTGTGAAGGTGGCAAGGGACGAGCACGTAACCTTGGGATGCTACTTGCAACCATAGTAAATACGTGCTGGTTGCAAAGTGCCTGGATTCTGATCACGGGACCGTGGGGATGCTACCGCGGTTGTAAATGGTTGTTAAGTCTCTTTTTTTCCAGTGCCACTGTAAGTTCAAATGGTCCCTAAATGAATGTTTGTTAAGTTGAGGACTTACCTGTATGGAGTGCAGAAAACTCCAGACGGACTGGGGCAAAAGACTGAAATTAGGAGACGCGTCCACATGTTCGATCAAGACTGCAGGAGCAGAAATGAAAAGACCCTCCTCCCTTTCACACTTCGGGGTCAATCCAGACGGCGTCCCCCTCATGCACCACAATATAATTTAGTCCTCAGCTTACGGCCACAACTGAGCCCAAAATGGATGTGGCTAATTGAGAAATTTGTTCAGTGAGTTTTGCCGCCGTTTTTACGGCTTTTTCTGGCCGCATTGATTAAGTGGATTGCTCCAATTGTTAGTCACACAATTGTGTGACTAACAATTGTGGCTTCCCCACGGACTTTGCTGGTCAGAAGGTCGCAAAAGTTGATCACATGACACACACCCCAGGGACACCGCAACCGTCATAGGTACATGCCAGTTGCCAAGCATTTGAATTTTGATCGTGTGACCACGGGCGAGGCTGCAACTGTCAAAATATGAACTGGTTGTCAAGCATCCGAATGTAAATCACGGGACCGCGGGGATGTTGCAACGGTCGTAAGTGTGAAAAGTGGTCATAACTCACTTTTTTCAGTGCCGTTGTAACTTGGAACGGTCACTAAATGAACTGTTGTAAGCCGAGGACTATCTGTACTTCCTGGTTATACATAACAGTGGTGGATATAATAACCTAGAGATGGGATGATTCTCCCTTTTGCAGAAGACCTTCAAACTGAGGCTGGAAAGCTATCATTCAACAATCTTTTAATTTGGATTTCTGCATTAAGCAGACAGTCGGGTTTAATGGAATAAAGGATCCCCTAAATTGTTAGAATCTGATACCGACAGAAGAGAATATTTGGAGCTCAAGGTTGAACTTGGAGTTCTCTAAGCTTGGATGTCTTCTTGCAGATGTTTCATGACCCAAAGAGGTAACAGCAGTAGTTCTCTATCACTCCTTACTTACAGAAGTGATAGAGCACTGATGATGTTACCTAGTGGGGTCATGAAACGTCTGCAAGAAGGCACCCAAGATCAGAGGGCACCAAGGACCCCACAGTCTTCTTCCTCCTCCTCCCCTTCCTCCTCTCTGCACACCCCCCTTCCTTCTAGCACTGATGATGCTACCTAGTTGGGTCATGAAACGTCTGCAAGAAAACCACCCAGCTCAGAGAGCACCAAGGACCCCCCAATGCTAGAATCTACTCTTCAATTTAAGAAATATTGTGAAGTACGTACTAATTAAACAACCCATTTTACATCCTCATTGGATGTTAGTGCTGAAATCTGGAGCTTGATACTTACGTCTAGTAGCCAGCCTGAAGTTATTTTATGTTTTCTAGTATGTTACTCTTAAATATTGGATGAGTCCAGGGAATTACATTCTATCTCTGAGTAACAAACTAGCCTATAATCTAGTCTTGGTTTAACTCTAATTTAATAAGGTAATTTAATAAGCACATGTATAGCTTTTTGAGACCGTCTCCCATTGGCTGAAAACCATCCAGAAATATTAAAGTACTTGAACTCTGCACCCCGTCTCCCCACACACAACTCAGCCGTGCTAAAATTCTCCGTACCTCGCAGTTCCTACGGATTGGGCTTCGGTTAGATCCACCGTGTTAAGAAAGGAGACCGATTTGGGAGCCCCGTACGAAGGAGATCTGTGGATCCCGCTTGGAGATGAAGGAACCTGGTGGCTTGGCGACTTGTAGGAGCCGTTACTCATCCTGCCCTGCAGTGCCTGATGGGCTTGGATGTTGTTATTGGCTAGGTCTGCTTGGAGAGAAGGTGTGGAAGTCCTTGACACTCGGGTCATGGCGCTGGAGAGGGAAGAAACAGACGTCTGCAAGGCTGGGTTCCGGGTGCTAAAGCTGCTGCTCGGGATCAGATTGTCTCTGGAGCCGTATCTCAGGATTAAGCTACGGGGGTCGTCCGACAGCAGGCTGACTTGCTGAAGGCTGTAAGAACTCGGGGTGTCATACACCCCTGAATCGGCAAACACGGAGTCTGGGTGAGAATGAAGGAGCTTTTCTCTCTCCTCCATCTCCTTCCTTTCTTGGATGGACGCCATAATGGTTTTTGACAGGTTGTCGTAGCGGACTGGAGAGGGGTCCCGTGGATGCGGGGCTGGCCCACTCTGCCCGGGGCTAAAGGCCTGGGGAGACGGGCGCTGGAGTTCCCTGCCCCGCAGATGGCACATTTTGGCAGACAAATAGGGCGAGTGGTATCCGACGGAGCCCACCGCGGCGTGCGCGATGCACCGCTTCCCGGAAGGGGAAATGGGATTGAGCAAACTGTCGTAGGATAAGCTCCCGTTCCTGTTGGAGAGAGAATTGGGGGCGAAGACGCTCTTGTAGGGGGTTGAGGTCGCCCCTTCGGACTTCATGGGATGGAGGGGCAGTTTGTCGGTGCCTCTCCGGACCCCCGTTTTCAGGCTGAGGGATCTCGAGTTGGCAGCGAAAGAATCCGCTTGGAGTGGAGAAGACTGGTAGGTTTTGTGAAGGGAACTCTTCCGATAGTTGGGGAGCTCCATGCTGGGCTCAGATTGATAATCCAGGCTGCTGTCGTTGTCATCGGCCAGGGAGCTTTGCCTGAGACCATCCTGGATGGAGATCTGGGAGAAGAAAGGGTTAGACTAGACGGAGCTGCTCCCAGCCCTCCGGGGTCAACCATTCGGGAAGCATGGCCAGATGGGCAAATTCGACTTTATTATAAGGCTACCGTAAAAAGAATCTTGCAAGTCTTAAGTTACAAATCTCCCACTGTCTCTTTTTCAGCCTGATAAGTTAGGGATGATCCTTTCCGAGTTTCTTTCTTTACCCCTTATGTAGTTGCAGGCTGTGTCGTCTCTTATCTGATTATTCCTTAGGCAACCTATCTTCTCCTGTATTCTCAGATCATTCCCACATACCACTACATCAGTGGAAGCAACTTGTTTCTCTCTCTCTGTGTCTCTCTGTCTCTCATCTCTCTCTCTCGCGCACGCTCTTTCTCCTTCTTTCTCTTTCTATCTGTCTCTGTCTCACTCTCTCTATCTCTTTCTGTCTCTCTCTGTCTCTCATCTCTCTCTCGTTCTCTCTCTTTCTCCTTTCTCTCTCTTTCTGTCTCACTCTCTCTTTCTCTTTCTCTGTCTCTCATCTCTCTCTCTTTCTCCTTTCTTTCTTTCTGTCTGTCTCTGTCTCACTCTATCTCTCTCTTTCTCTTTCTGTCTCTTTCTCTCTGTCTCTCATCTCTCTCTCTTTCTCCTTCTTTCTCTTTCTGTCTGTCTCTGTCTCTCTATCTCTCTTTCTGTCTCTTTCTGTCTCTCATCTCTCTCTTTCTGTCTCATCTCTCTCTCTCTTTCTCCTTTCTCTTTCTGTCTGTCTGTCTCACTCTATCTCTCTCTTTCTGTCTTTCTGTCTCTCTCTCTCTCTCTTTCTCCTTCTCTCTCTTTCTGTCTCTGTCTCACTGTATCTTTCTCTTTCTGTCTCTTTCTCTCTGTCTCTCATCTCTCTCTTTCTCTCTCTCTCTTTCTCTTTCTGTCTCTGTCTCACTTTTTCTCTCTGTCTCTCATATCTCTCTCTTTCTTTGTCTCTCTTTCTCCTTTCTCTCTCTCTCTGTCTCACTCTCTCTGTCTTTCATCTTTCTCTCTCTGTGTGTCTCTGTCTTTCTCCTTCTCTCTCTCTCTCTCTGTCTCAATCTCTCTATCTCTCTCTCTCTTTCTCTCTCTTTCTCTCTGTCTCTCTCTCTTTGTCTATCTGTCTCTCTCTGAGCCAAGCCACAAGTGCCAGGAAAGAGATTAATGAGCCTTTACACAGCCTTCTTAAAATGGCTTTTTCATTGGTGCTGTGGCCTCATTGTTCAAAATGACAAAGAACGATGGTTAAAGGCTTGCTTCTGGAGAGGAAAAGCAGTAATAACATAATGTAACGTAACGTAACATAACACAACACAACACAACATCCCTTTCAGACACATTATGTAAAGGCCTAGTTGAGAAACGCGGTTTGATAGGTTAGCGTTCCACTGAGTTTTTATTTTGACCCCAGGAAGAGGCAATTACACAGAAAACAGAAAACATTTCAACTTGGCTTGAAGTTGGCTTTCTGTTTCATTTGGTCAAACCCGGGATTCAACCTGCAGCCATGCCATCTTACCTGCTCAGATGTTCCGCGATAGAGAACTTTCGAGTTGTTGCTGAAAGCAGGGCGGTATTTATACATGGCAGGCGTGGGAGGGCTGATCAGTTTGGGAGAAAGGCTGCTCTCTGGAAAACAAAAGGGAAAACAAGCCATGGCTTGCGGCGAGCCCAAACCAGGATTGAATTTCGCATAACCCATAATATAGTTTGCTTGCTTATGGCTTGGCTGTGTAAACCCAGCTCCCGAATTTTTCAAATTTTAGCTGATGGCTTAGCCTGAGGGTGTTATATGGATCCAGTCCATGGTGGTTTAGTCAGTAAACCATAGTTAAACAAACTATGGCTTATTTTTTATGAATCTAACAGTTTCTGCATCACGGGCTCAACCAGTCGTGAATTTTTCTCGAGAAAGGAAGTTTTAAAAAAGAGAAACTCACACCTTCGCCTGATTTGAAAAGAAAAACAGGGAAATTCATACATTCACTTGATTTTAAAAAAGAAAATATCAAATCTTGTACCTTCAGTGCTTCCCAGTTCACTGTATTTACTGGAATCTCCTTTGGGTGGAAGCGGAGGCTGTATATCCATGGTTTTTTCATCCAGCCCTTCTAGGCTAATTTTAGACTGAAAACAATCATGAAACAAGGTTAAGTCTCTACAGGCTGTTCAGGATAACAGTGATCTTCACCCGTTGTGTTAAACAGTGGCATTGTTTGTTTAGTTTGGGTTTGGCCAGGGTATGAAAACAGCCACTGTGTTTTGCTCATTCTAGTTTATGGCTTAATATGTTGCCTGAACCCCGTCCAGTTGAGGCTTGCTCAGCAAACTATGGTTAAACAAATCTTTGCTTAATGCAGTCTAAGAAGCTCTGCTAGGAGCCAGTTTGATCCAGTGGGTAAGGCATCAGGCTAGAAACCAGAGCATGAGTTCTAATCCTGCCTTAGTGATGAAAGTCAGCTGGGTGACTTTGAGCCAATCATCAGGAGACTGGGAGTTCTAGTCCCGCCTTAGGCATGAAAGCCAGCTGGGTGACTTTGAGCCAATCACCAGGAGACTGGGAGTTCTAGTCCCTCTTGAGCCATGAAAGCCAGCTGGGTGACTTTGAGCCAATCACCAGGAGACTGGGAGTTCTAGTCCCGCCTTAGGCATGAAAGCCAGCTGGGTGACCTTGGCCCTCTCTCTCAGCCCACCTGACCTCACAGGGTTGTTGTTGAGGGGAACATAGGAGGAGGAAGGAGTATTATGTGTGTTCATCACCTTGAGTTATTTATAAAAACAATAAAGATGGGTTACAAACAATCAAATACAAATGCAGACATAAACCTGGCCCCTAGAATTTTTGCTTTGCAGCGATTGAAAACTGAAATAAATGACTAACTTTGATTTCAGCCTGGATGGGAATGGATTCACCTATCACACTAGGCCATAACTTAGCTTGTTTGGCTTTGGCTCAATGTATTGCACAAACCTGGCTAGTCACAAGTCATTTAACCCCTTAGGGCTTAATAAGCATGCTTCATGAATTCAGCCAAATGTAGGCAGATTTTTATGGAAATCTTTCGCCAGGAAAATATGGAAACCAGATCTCTATATGGGTGGATCCCATTTAGAGGAAAGCTCTTGAGCAATGCGTCACCTTGCTGTGTATAAGATTGGCTTGAACACCGTTGTCGCTGATTTTGACGGTGATCTGTCGCTCCTTTAGATCCGGCCTCAGGAACGGTGGCTTCACGCTTAGCATCTCCTTCTTCTTGGGATCCACAATGTACCTGCAAGATCACGGGATCTTGAAACTTGTATGCTTTTTATTAAGAGATACAACCGATGAAAAACAGCAGACCATCCATGGTGAATATCTACAAATGGCTTACATAAAGGAACGGGCGCTTAATGAGTGACTAAGAGAGGAAGTTAGGAGTGCTTCTAAAGAAATAAAACAAAAGCACGTAGCCGTAAAATGGATAATTGGCAAGGACGGACAATCTGAAGGAATGCCATTTTGGTGTGAAAGGCCAGCAACAAAGGCTTCGTGGGTGATGAAGCCACGTGTTGCCAGGATAGTACGTTAACACATCAAGGTGTCCAAGGCAGAGGTGAACACCTGCATCTCTAATTTGATTCTGCTTGCACAGATTCAAAATAGAATCGATAAACCCGTGAAGACTAGCTTGTTCAGCCCCCAAGCTCTCACACCCACAAAAGGGACAGGCAACCCAGCACTGGTTAAGGATCAACCTTCTGTGTTTCTCCTTACATCTTACCTAGGGCCCAGGGGGCTGCAGAGGACATGTTCCACATTCCCACAGCACCCTTGCGTAAAAGGATTGACTCCTCCACGGAACTTACCCGTCACCTGGAATTAAAACAAAGAGGGCAGAATTTGAAAAAGGAAGGGAAGCAACCGTTAGCCTGAGAAAGACCTTGGGAGACGGAGGGAGGACTTTCTGCCTGGAGAACAGTCAGATAAAAGGCAGCAGAGCCTACAGCTGGACACTGGATGGGGCAGGAGATTGAGAAGGGACCCTCCATAGTTTCTTCGGCTGTAAAAGAGAATGGGTGTGTGTGTGGGAACAGGACTGTACAGGTAGCCCTGGACTCCTGACCACAATTGAGTCCCAATTTTTTGTTGTTAAGCAAGACAGTTGTTAAGTGAGCTTTGCCCTCTTTCTGGCCACACCTGTCAAGGGCTTCACTGCCATTGTTCAGTTAGTAACACGGTTGTTAAGTGAATTTGGCTTCCCCCATGGAATTCACTGGTCAGAAGGTCGCTAAAGGGGATTGCACGACCCCGGGACACCGCAACCGTCATAAATATGAGCCAGTTGGCCAAGCCTCTGGGTTTTGATCAAGTGATGCTGCCACGGTTCTAATTGTGAAAAACAGTCCAAAGCCACTTTTTTCAGTGCCGTTGTAATTTCGAACAGTCACTAAACGAACGGTTGTACGCCGAGGGACTGCCTGCGCTTTCAGATTGGCAAGATTCTGCCAATTAGCTTTACAATAAAGTAGAATTAGCTGATCTGATTGTATTTCCTCTCCGGTCCACCTGGTAAGGCTGACACTCACCTGCTATGCTTTATTGTTGTTGTTGTTGTTGTTGTTGTTGTTATTATTATTATTATTATTATTATTATTATTATTCATTACACAGTCAGCTAGATAATCAGACTCGGTCTGGCATTTTTTGTCTACCTATCCAGTCTTTGCCAAGGACCTGGGATAGGCAGGTGTGGATGTTTGACGGTGTTACTGATATCATTACAGGATGGAAGCTGTCCCAGTAAAGCCGCCTTTTGCAATTGACTTATTATTATTATTATTATTATTATTATTATTATTATTATTATTATTCGCACAGTCAGCCAGATGTTCAGACTAGATTTGGAATTTTTGTCTACCTATCGAGTCCTTCCCAAGGACCTGGGATAGGCAGATGTGGATGTTTGATGGTATTACAGATGGAAGCAGTTCCTAGTAAGGCCGCCTTTTGCAATTGACTAATGGCGAATTTGTCAATGCCGATGATGGTGTTCAAGTGGTGCTCCAGCTGTTTTGGGATTACACCCAAGGCGCCTTATTACTATTGGTACTACCCTTGCTTGCTTTTGCCACAGTCGTTCTGCTTCTATTTGTAGGTCTTTGTATTTTGTTATCTTCTCCAGTTATTATGATTATTATTATGATTATTATTATGATTATTATTATGATTATTATTATGATTATTATTATGATTATTCACACAATTAGCCAGATGTTCAGACTGGGTTTGGTATTTTTGTCTACCTATCCAATCCTTGCCAAGGACCTGGGACAGGCAGATGTGGATGTTTGACGGTGTTACTGATATCATTACAGGATGGAAGCTGTTCTCAGTAAAGCCCCCTTTTGCAATTGACGTTTTATTTTTATTTTTATTTTTATTATTGTTGTCGTCATCATCGGCTGCTCTGATGGTGCAGGGAATAACCTGAACAAATGATCCCAGAAGCAGAGAAAGAAGACAGATCGGAAGCCACCTTACCTGCTCGTTGGTCGTGCGTCCTCGTGCCACCAAAACAATGTGGAAGGCAGTCAGACCAATCACTGGGATGAAGAAAAGCCCAGCGATACACATGACTGTCATCCTGAATGCTGAAGTTAAGGAAATCCTGCAGGTTATTGTGCCACGGGCACTGAAGCATGCTAGAAAGAATCACTTTCGGGTGGGCCTTGACCGGTCTGGTGGGACGGAGGCAACCGGTTGAACCCGAGAGGACCCCCACGGGGAGGATACGTAACGGCGGTGTGGGCCACGCCCACTTTTTCAGCATGGTGTAAGACATAGATAAGCCCGAAGGTGAACACGCCAACCATGTGGGCACTTAAAGACAGCAAGAAAAGGAAAAAATAGCGGTAGTTGCGTCGTCCGATACAGTTATTAACCCAAGGGCAGTGGTGATCAAAATCCTGGGGAAACAATAGGAGAGAGAGTGTGATAATGCAAGCATAACTTGGCGTACACACAGGCATTAGCTCAGGAATAACGGGAACCATGATAATAATAAAAATCACAACAACACTATCAACCCATCAGGCCCCAAGAATCAAGAAAGATACATCGAGTTACTCTGAGCAATGTCAGATAGATAGATAGATAGATTAGATAGATAGATAGATAGATAGATAGATAGATAGATAGATAGATAGATAGATAGATAGATAGATAGATAGAGATAGTCAGATAGATAGAGATAGAGATAGATAGATAAAGAGATATAGACAGATTAGATAGATAGATAGATAGATAGATAGATAGATAGATAGATAGATAGATAGATAGATAGGTAGGTAGGTAGGTAGATAGATAGGTAGATAGGTAGATAGGTAGATAGGTAGATAGGTAGATAGGTAGATAGGTAGATATAGACAGACAGACAGACAGACAGACAGACAGACAGACAGACAAAGACAGATAACCTTTATTGTCATTTTTTACTGGGGGCACACAGTAATTTCATTAAAAATGAAATTCTGTTGCCTGCTCGCAAAGTGTACACATACATAGCACACATATAAACCGGCTACGTACAACATATGTATAAACCTACACCATTACATATAAATACATATAAATATGCCCTTCAAAAAAGTTTAAATCAGAGCTAATTAATTCCCCCCCCCCTCCTTTTTTCTTTCCCCTGCCTTCAGTTTCCCAATCCCCTTACTTCCCAGTGGTGGTTATGTATGTATGTGTGAGAGAGAGTGAGTGAGTGAGAGAGCGAGAGAGAGAGCACACATTTAAGGGGATATATGTGTGACAAAGAGGATTTCCTGGCAATAAACTCACTGCTCAATAAAACACTGCCGCCATGACATAAAATCCTATTGTCTTCTCAGCCAATAAATTCTCCTCCGCGCTAGCCTTCACCCCAGCCGTCCCGCTAATGAAGAGGCCTGCGTTTTACGTTCTGCTCTGGCTGAGTCCTTTTTAATGAATTTCTCTGTCCAGAGTTAATTCTCGTCTCCTTTTTTAACTGCACAACTGACTACGACGTCAGAAAACGGTTTTAAAAGACTTTGTTCTTCGCCTCGCCTGGGGAAAGGGACTTGGGAGGTGCCAGATGTAGAAAAAGGAAAGAAGTATCTCGCTTAAGAATAAGGTTGTCTGTGCATCTGCAACCAGGATAATTGTGGCATGGTTGCTCGTATANTAGGAGCCAGTTTGATCCAGTGGGTAAGGCATCAGGCTAGAAACCAGAGCATGAGTTCTAATCCTGCCTTAGTGATGAAAGTCAGCTGGGTGACTTTGAGCCAATCATCAGGAGACTGGGAGTTCTAGTCCCGCCTTAGGCATGAAAGCCAGCTGGGTGACTTTGAGCCAATCACCAGGAGACTGGGAGTTCTAGTCCCACTTTAGCCATGAAAGCCAGCTGGGTGACTTTGAGCCAATCACCAGGAGACTGGGAGTTCTAGTCCCGCCTTAGGCATGAAAGCCAGCTGGGTGACCTTGGCCCTCTCTCTCAGCCCACCTGACCTCACAGGGTTGTTGTTGAGGGGAACATAGGAGGAGGAAGGAGTATTATGTGTGTTCATCACCTTGAGTTATTTATAAAAACAATAAAGGTGGGATACAAACAATCAAATACAAATGCAGACATAAACCTGGCCCCTAGAATTTTTGCTTTGCAGCGATTGAAAACTGAAATAAATGACTAACTTTGATTTCAGCCTGGATGGGAATGGATTCACCTATCACACTAGGCCATAACTTAGCTTGTTTGGCTTTGGCTCAATGTATTGCACAAACCCGGCTAGTCACAAGTCATTTAACCCCTTAGGGCTTAAAAAGCATGCTTCATGAATTCAGCCAAATGTAGGCAGATTTTTATGGAAATCTTTCGCCAGGAAAATATGGAAACCAGATCTCTATATGGGTGGATCCCATTTAGAGGAAAGCTCTTGAGCAATGCGTCACCTTGCTGTGTATAAGGTTGGCTTGAACACCGTTGTCGCTGATTTTGACGGTGATCTGTCGCTCCTTTAGATCCGGCCTCAGGAACGGTGGCTTCACGCTTACCATCTCCTTCTTCTTGGGATCCACAATGTACCTGCAAGATCACGGGATCTTGAAACTTGTATGCTTTTCATTAAAAGAGATACAACCGATGAAAAACAGCAGACCATCCGTGGTGAATGTCTACAAATGGCTTACATAAAGGAACGGGCGCTTAATGAGCGACTAAGAGAGGAGATTAGGAGTGCTTCTAAAGAAATAAAACAAAAGCACGTAGCCGTAAAATGGATAATCGGCAAGGACGGACAATCTGAAGGAATGCCATTTTGGTGTGAAAGGTCAGCAACAAAGGCTTCGTGGGTGATGAAGCCACGTGTTGCCAGGATAGTACGTTAACACATCAAGGTGTCCAAGGCAGAGGTGAACACCTGCATCTCTAATTTGATTCTGCTTGCACAGATTCAAAATAGAATCGATAAACCCGTGAAGACTAGCTTGTTCAGCCCCCAAGCTCTCACACCCACAAAAGGGACAGGCAACCCAGCACTGGTTAAGGATCAACCTTCTGTGTTTCTCCTTACATCTTACCTAGGGCCCAGGGGGCTGCAGAGGACATGTTCCACATTCCCACAGCACCCTTGCGTAAAAGGATTGACTCCTCCACGGAACTTACCCGTCACCTGGAATTAAAACAAGGAGGGCAGTTTTTGAAAAAGGAAGGGAAGCAACCGTTAGCCTGAGAAAGACCTTGGGAGACGGAGGGAGGACTTGCTGCCTGGAGAACAGTCAGATAAAAGGCAGCAGAGCCCACAGCTGGACACTGGATGGGGCAGGAGATTGAGAAGGGACCCCCTCTAGTTTCTTCGGCTGTAAAAGAGAATGGGGGTGGGGGGTGGGAACAGGACTGTACAGGTAGCCCTGGACTCCTGACCACAATTGAGCCCCAATTTTTTGTTGTTAAGCAAGACAGTTGTTAAGTGAGCTTTGTCCCCTTTCTGGTCACACCTATCAAGGGCTTCACTGCCATTGTTCAGTTAGTAACACGGTTGTTAAGTGAATTTGGCTTCCCCCATGGAATTCACTGGTCAGAAGGTCGCTAAAGGGGATTGCACGACCCCGGGACACCGCAACCGTCATAAATATGAGCCAGTTGGCCAACTTCTGGGTTTTGATCACGTGATGCTGCCATGGTTCTAATTGTGAAAAACAGTCCGAAGCCACTTTTTTCAGTGCCGTTGTAATTTCGAACAGTCACTAAACGAACGGTTGTACGCCGAGGGACTGCCTGCGCTTGCAGATTGGCAAGATTCTGCCAATTAGCTTTACAATAAAGTAGAATTAGGTGATCTGATTGCATTTCCTCTCTGGTCCACCTGGTAAGGCTGACACTCGCCTGCTATGCTTTATTATTATTATTATTATTATTATTATTATTATTATTATTATTATCATCATCATCATCATCATCATCATCATCATCATCATCATCATCATCATCATTATTATTCATCACACAGTCAGCTAGATGATCAGACTCGGTCTGGCAATTTTTGTTACCTATCCAGTCCTTGCCAAGGACCTGGGATAGGCAGGTGTGGATGTTTGACGGTGTTACTGATATCATTACAGGATGGAAGTAGTTCCCAGTAAAGCCGCCTTTTGCAACTGACATATTATTATTATTATTATTATTATTATTATTATTATTATTATTATTATTATTATTATTATTATTATTATTATTATTATTATTATTATTATTCATCGCACAGTCAGCCAGATGTTCAGACTGGATTTGGAATTTTTGTCTACCTATTGAGTCCTTTCCAAGGACCAGGATAGGCAGATGTGGATGTTTGATGGTGTTACAGATCCTGTCGCAGGATGGAAGCTGTTCCTAGTAAGGCCGCCTTTTGCAATTGACTCATGGCGAATTTGTCAATGCCGATGATGGTGTTCAAGTGGTCCTGCAGTTGTTTTGGGATTGCACCCAAGGCACCCATTACTATTGGTACTACCCTTGCTTGCCTTTCCCACAGCCGTTCTATTTCTATTTGTAGGTGTTTGTACTTTGTTATCTTCTCCAGTTTTATTATTATTATTATTACTACTACTACTATTATTATTATTATTCGCAGAGTCAGCCAGATGTTCAGACTGGGTTTGGTATTTTTGTCTACCTATCCAATCCTTGCCAAGGACCTGGGATAGGCAGGTGTGGATGTTTGACGGTGTTACTGATATCATTACAGGATGGAAGCTGTTCCCAGTAAAGCCGCCTTTTGCAATTGACATTTTATTTTTATTTTTATTATTGTTGTCATCGTCATCGGCTGCTCTGATGGTGCAGGGAAGAACTTGAACAAGTGATCCCAGAAGCAGAGAAAGAGGACAGATCAGAAGCCACCTTACCTGCTCGTTGGTCGTGCGTCCTCGTGCCACCAAAACAATGTGGAAGGCAGTCAGACCAATCACTGGGATGAAGAAAAGCCCAGCGATACACATGACTGTCATCCTGAATGCTGAAGTTAAGGAAATCCTGCAGGTTATTGTGCCACGGGCACTGAAACATGCTAGAAAGAATCACTTTCGGGTGGGTCTTGACCGGTCTGGTGGGACGGAGGCAACCGGTTGAACCCGAGAGGACCCCCACGGGGAGGATACGTAACGGCGGTGTGGGCCACGCCCACTTTTTCAGCATGGTGTAAGACATAGATAAGCCCGAAGGTGAACACGCCAACCATGTGGGCACTTAAAGACAGCAAGAAAAGGAAAAAATAGCGGTAGTTGCGTCGTCCGATACAGTTATTAACCCAAGGGCAGTGGTGATCAAAATCCTGGGGAAACAATAGGAGAGAGAGCGTGATAATGCAAGCATAACTTGGCGTACACACAGGCATTAGCTCAGGAATAACAGGAACGATGATAATAATAAAAATCACAACAACTGTTCTGGATCATAGATCCATTTCTCTTGTATTTCTCTATGTATCTTGTATAAGTCTATGAACTCCTATGCAACAGGTCAAGGGGAGGGACTAGGGTCAGGGGGCGGAGCTTCAAAGGCATCCCTGGACATTAGCCTGAGGTCAGTCTTTGTTCTTGGACCTTAAAACTGCCGGCAAGGAAAGGAGGAAGCGGGGTTTCTATGGCAACTGCTCTCCTCTCTTGAAGGGAGATCCATGCAAGTGGCTTAATGGCTTGCAGAGTTTACCAGCAAATTAACAATACAATGCACTGAATCACACCTTCTTTGAAACGCTGTCTGCCAAGCAGATACTGTGATATTTCTTTTTTGCAGGC